AGCCTCCCACCCCCTTTGGCACAAAGAGATACACCCACACGGGCGCGCACAAAGCATCCGTAGACAGCATTCAGGCACCGCGCACGGGCTGTTGTGTACACGTCGCCCACAAAGCCCTCGCACGCAACCCCTTCAACATGTAAACGCGCACACTATCCAGGCCAAACACCATTAGCCAAACGCTGACATATAAAAGTCACGCACAATGAGAATGACAGCAACGATAATGTTGATCACAAACAGTCAGAAACACACATCAAACTGCACATACTACCCCATTAATAATGCACGGAGTCTGGTGGGGAAAGAGGAGCACTCCCTGTAATGGATAGCGGGGGAGGGGTTCCCACTCCTTTGCAGCTTCTGGATGTTGTTTTCCGTTTGTGCTGTTGTGTGTGTGTGTGTGGTGTCACAATGTTAGCCTATATATCTCCGACCCACTGGTCACGCTTCATATCTATTCCTCCTCAATCCGCTCGGGTTTAGTCAGCGATTGGATGTGTTTATGTCATGCTAACCTGCTTATTTCCAGTAAATCAGAACACAACAACATGAACTGTGAGTTCAGGGCCTTTTATCGGGCCAAAAATTTAGAAAAAGGAGCACATCATACAATGATTTCCTCCTTCTGTCAACGTTGACTGAAGGCATTTGACCTGAACAATCAACTCTTTTGATTCCCTGAAATCAGAGCTCGTCGGTTATAATTGTAAAGTCTTCAGGAAGTGATTAGTGATGTGGACAGTGGACAGGTCACTCATAAAGGTGTCCACCAGAGCAGAGGTCAGGACTCTCCACTATCAGGACTTCCTGAGACACCTGTTGGAATTCCTCCCTCAGTGCATGTTGAACCACATCCGCCCCATCTATTTTTTAATAACATCAAATAATCGTCCAGTTTCGAACACCAGGATGTCATCAGCGGCTTTTATTTTTAAATTACTAACATGAATTTATTCCGAATGACCTAAATAGGAATAAACATCTAATAATTCTATCCGGTGCAAAAAACAAACCCCCCCAAAAAATAAACAGACAAACACATTGCAAGCTCGAATGAGAACCTGTACCGCAGTGAGGGTGACTCAGCCTCTAGCGTTGCCATGGAAACGCAGCCTCTTTGCGATCAGTCTCTTAGTAACTGTGTGCAGTTCCCGAGGAGCAAACCAGAGTGCAGGGGAGCGCTTGTGTGCGAGACAGCAGGAGCTCATGCAGCCACTCGTGTAACTTGCTGCTTCCTTGAGTAGCTTCTAAAATTAGAGCAATTACAAAATAAACAACCAAATAAATAGATCACGACTCCTCTTTTCTTTGCAAAATGGAATGCAAATGTTCGACCTGAAAGTTCCGTCTATGCAAACAGTTTTATCAAATACCGTTTAAAACTAGTTTGTGTTGCAGTTCTTAAACAGCGTGAGTATTTAAAGAGTGAAATGGACTTTAATTGGATGAACTTTTAACACTTATGCCCAGTGACCCACAGGGTTTATCCTGCTCTGGCCACCTCTATGTTCAAGAGGTGATGAGACATTGAGAAATTCAAGTTCAGGTCAAAACTCTGAGGTGAAACTCTTTACATGTGCTAAATGAGACGGGTCCTTTAGGTACACCTTAACAGACAACACTGATTAGACCCAGACAAAAGGCAAAGGATCTCCAAACAAAGGTGAAAATGGTCATAAGAACTGGGGATCGGGGTCGCCAGGCTTCGGCCACTTTCTATTGGTCACTGCTTGGGGCTTTTTCAGGGCTCTTACAGATATTGTGGAGGTGGATGTCACACCAAACCACAATGACAGGACTGCATTTTCTCTAATGCAGACTGGCAGAGCACAGGGAGCCGCTGCGGTCAGCTGTCCAGGTTTCAGGCTGTGACCAAACCTGACCACGTGTAACGCTATCCTCGCCTGATAAAGGCCACTAACTGATGTTTAGCCTTTTTAGAAGACTAAGATCTTCCAAAAAAGCAGTCGGAGAGTCACAGAAGTTGAAAAAATGTGGCTGTGATGCTTGCTCACAAACACCAGGAAGCACTCAGTTGCTATTTAGACTATAGATCATTTCATGATTTAATAAACCGGTTCTACGGATCAGCTGAGCCTGATAATGTTTTCTATTTTCAGCGTGAGGACCCTGCCTTCAACTATTCAAATTCCAAACTTCCCTGTCGACCTGTCCCAACAAAATAAGTTAGATTGTGTCTCAAAAAGCCCTAAATAAAGGCTCTACATCAGGATTCGTGTTGGAAACTGTGAAATCGTTTAAATGAGACACAGTATCATTGAGATTCTGCCTGACAAGGCAAGTTTTGTCTTAAATAAACCGAACAAAACTGTTTTCCTCTGTTTTGAACTAACATATTAAAGTTAGAAGCAAAATCCTGATTTGTGCATAACTTGACTTAAGACTGGATCAACAGTCTTAAATCAAAAAAGGGGGAATTACAGGATGAAAATGCACCAGATGAGACGACCTGATGGAGATCAATTATCATCCCCACTCTCCAAAGTGACTGATCCCAATGTCTACATGTCCGTGTGTTTTCAAATGACTAATTCCCTAAAACCTCTGCTAGAAATATCTAGGAATTGAAAAAAATCATCTGTTGTTTTATGCTCAGACCACAAGTGGATGCATTCAACATACTGTATTCCATTTGTTTATCCTAGGAAACTGCATGTCAGTGTTGGAGCTTCTGGACAAAATGGTGGAGGGGGGTCATGGACATTTACATGGTGTGTTTTCTCTAGTTGAAGAATCTGTGGATAGCCAGGTCCAAAAACGAATAGTTACAAAAACAATGATGTGCTGTGATGGACAGGATACACATTCTCTTTTGGGACAAACAGCGGATGGTATTTGTGAAAACTAAACGTGTTACATGCAGAACAACTTCTGAGTCACTCTGGGCCTGTGTTTAGGTTTCCCATGACTAATACGTACTGCAAAGTGACTGAAAGTTACAGGAAATCGTTGGCCGAAAAAAGAAATACACACTGAGTCACAGGGGAGACGCACCTTTTTTTAAACTGGTAGTCGAATGGTATCACATCACTAAAGCCACTGGCTTCATACCCTTAAAAAATGACATGTTTTTTTATGTTCTTATCACCGAGAGGTCATTTCCATAGCTCAGATAAACCGCTGTTTAGATACAGTCAGGTGGAACAAATGTATCATCGTTTTTTACTCTGAAGCTTCCTTTTCTGGATGCAAAACATCTATTGGAGACCTATTATAGATGTGTAAATGCACTATGTTTACATGGGTAGCTCGTAAAACTGCACGCCAATGTTTTAAAGTCCATAGGCAAAATCAGAGCATACAGATGTAAATTCACTGTCTCCAAATGAGGTCAAAATATCCCAGATTAACACGGTCAGCCGTTAGAATGGGGAAAGAAAACGGTAGTCTCAGATTTCTGTGGCACAGAGGCTGCGGATGAATCACAACAACAGCCCTCCCTCCCTAATCCGAACCCTCCTTTTACCTCTCCTCCCACACAGCATGCTTCATTCATGTTTTCTTTTTCTTTTCTTTTTTTCTGCCTGCCATTCATTTTCTGCAGCCCCACAAACCGGAGCAACAGGCAGCGGAGAGCAGACGTCTCCTCCACACAGAGCCCCCGTGTGTTCGGATCCATTGACGTCACGGCTGACGCATGGCGGCCTGGAGTGGCCGGCTTTATCAAAAGGCCCGGGCCGGGGCTTGAACAGAGGTATTATTAGCCAGCAGAGGGAGATGCACAGAGAGAATTGGAGGGGAAGGGAATTTGGCCGGATCAAAAGGGGGCTACTTGGAATGAGGGGCTTGCTTTTGAGTGAGCTGCAAGTAACAGACTGTACTTGTTTCTTGACTCTATTTCTAGCAAAACAAAACAAAAAAAACAAAAAAACATTTAATCATATGTATAAATTATTTGACTGGTTTTAAACAGATAAGTCATTTTCAGGTTTGTTGAACACTTTTTTTTCTTCTAATTTTCCTTGTGTGATTGTTTCACACGGTTTTTAACCTCCTGAGTCACGCACACCAAATAAAAGCTCGGCTCTCAGGAGGTTAACACAGTCAGTAGAGTTTCGTCTGAGCTGTTTAATGAGTGCAAATGGACCAAATGTGATTTAGAGGAGGGTTGAGAAACTACTTATTTTGAACCGTTTCCTTCTGAGGGCCTGGATGGTGGGTCCTCCTGAAGTTCAGAAACATGCATGTCAGGTTAATTTGTGATTCTGCCTGTAGGAGTGAGCGCTAGTGTGCATGGTGGTCTGTCTTCTTTTTCCTCTCTGCGATGGACTGTCATTCTTCCTGGTGTGTAACCTGCCTTTGCCCCAATGAGAGCCCCCCCATGACCCTACTGGGTACAAGCAGCTAAAGAAAATTGATATATGGATGTTTCTTTCTGCCTTCAAATGGACAAAGTTGGCACTTGTCTGTTTTCACTTTTATGTGAAAGAGAGTCAGTCATCTGGAAAATAGGTTTGCTTTCTATCAAAAGAGCAAACTAAATAAGAGACGTCTGTTCAGAAAAAGACACACTGAACGCTGCTTTCTACAGGTAGGACAATAAATTGCAATAACTGCGTGCAAGACAATAAATGCTTATGTATAAAAACATATAACTCTATCTTTTAAGAACATCCCTTAAAGAAAAGGTAGAATTGATAATAAAGCTCGTTCAACTAAACAAAGAAATAAACCTCCTGAATGATTTTCTTAAAGTCTTGCCAAAATGAGACAATCAAAAGGTTAAGAGAGGTAGAATCCTGTATGCTTGAACAAAAACAACTACCATACGTGCTTAAATAAAGAGGGTTAATGTCTAAAGGAGGGGATTTGTACATCCTTAGACACATTAGAAATAATGAGCTGAACTCATAACGAGCTGATTCTGAACTCAGATCATAGGCGTACATGTTAGAAATGTAGATTTGTACTTGGGAGTGGTGTCACCGGACTGGTTACAGCAGAAGATGGCGGTACTGGCGCGCCGAACGGTCCGCCAACCGCCAAAGAATGTTAGAAGAAGAAACGAAAAAGCGAAAGCAGAAGAAGAAGACGACGACTGTCGGAAGCTAGCCGTACCGACAAGTTGCTAACCCATTTATGAGGCTTGTCAAAGCGTAATAGTGAGCAGTAATCCTTAGAAGGAACACGGTTACCGCTGCCAGCAGGTCATGCAGCGCTGCAAAAGGTAATGAGCCGTAAAGCCACGGGGTTTCGGCTCAGCGGCGCCCATAAACTGCGGCCACACTGGAACGACTGGCAGCCCAGGTTGGTGTTCCGCTCTGGTGTTGGATGGTCAAAATAAAACGGCGACTGTCAGGGCCTTTTGAGCGGTCCTGTGTTAAGTTGTGACCACATGGGACTCGAAACTCCCTGTTCCTCGTCGGCTCAGCGTTAATTTATCCTTTTAACCAAACTGTGTTGTCTCGTCCATTTTGGACGACGGAGACGAACCCTAACCATTTAGTCTGGGGTTGACTGTTGAGGAGTTCGTCTCGTGGACTGTCGAGCCTGGTGCTAACGTTGCTCAGAGGGCATTGTAAACGTTTAATGCCTACGCCTAACCGAAAGCGAACAACCCACGTTCCGTATACCCCAGAAATGAGCCGAATGGGAGATATTTGGAACTATTAGGGATTGTTTGTGCTGGGCGGTCTGTCCTTTGTGGGCTCCTGCCTGAGCTTAGCCCGTTAGCACCGCTCGCGCTCGCTAACAAAGCTAGTCAGTAGTGGCAAGCCGCCACCCTGCTATGTTATTTATTATTTCCCTAACGACTTCCGGAATGATTGTAAAATGTCTGTAGGACAAAAAAAACATGTTTTTTAAAAAACTGTTCAAATGTGTAGCGGCGTGAACAACCAATTAAATAAAGCAATACCCGGAGCTCATATGAGAACATAACTTAGAATTCCTTTGTAATTTGGCAAGGGACCGCGGGCCCCAAGTTTAACGAGCACCACTGAGTTTAAACGGCATCTTATATGTTAACATTTTGACTGAGTCGTATGATAGCAGTTGCTAACGGCCGTAACTTTACTATATCGCTACGCCCCCAGCGCACATGACTTATATCTCAGGTAAGATAGGTGAGACAGTAAATGCATCTCATTTTGTTTTAAGTGTATCATGACAAGATGGGCTGGATATTTATGGGCTAAATACTCCATGTTTTATCCTTTCAGCTTCCTACCTAGTCATCCAGTGCTCTAACTGGTTCCCAAACTATTTGATCTAAACTTTTAACAGAGGCCCATAACTTTGTGGTTCCTGTTTAAAACACTTTGGCTTGCCAGCTATTTACTTTGCCCCTTTAACCGATGCCTTTGCAGGCTCCTTTAAGCTTTGTGCGAATACATTTGTGTTCTTTAATCTTCTCCCTGTCTTCTTGACATGGTTTTGAATGATCAGCCGTGGATGTATGACTATGGCTTTCCCTGGCCGGACTCCCTTGTCTAAAACTAAAGTGGGTCTAAATTTGGAGGTACAGTTCTATTTTTAAGTAGTCGACTTAAGTTGGTAAAAATTCCAACGTTATCAGGACAGGCATATTTCATATCAAAGAATACTCGAAGCCAAAAAGTTTGAATGGGTCAGTGAAAGATTCCTTGTTGGTATGTTAGTGTTTGATCTGATTACATTAATACAAGTGGTCAGCCATTCTTAAACGTAGTAAACTGAATTCTTTCACCCACTAAACGCTCAAGTTTTTCATTGAATGGTATTTAATTTCTTAATCTATTTTTCCCCCCAAAATTTTGTTTAACTATTTTTTAAGTTTTCTAAACTCTAAGACAAACTACTTTATATTTTTCTGGCATTTGACACATGGATTAGAAGTTTGAAGAAATGCTGTCATGGTGGGGAGAAAAACACATATACTACTTTCTACTACTCCTTACTCAGCTTTCTTCTCCATCTATCCTGTACTAATATTCCATCTTCTTGAGAAATTAAGCCTTTCACCTTTTTCCTGTCAGGAAATGAGATTAGCTGTTTAGCGCCGCCCCCGCACATCGTCAGGATATGGCCGCACCTGCTTCTTCTAGTTGATTCTTTGCAGGTCATAAAGACTGCCACATCTCAGAACTCTGACATGAAGTTCTACTTAACTAATTCCATGCAGAACTCCTCAGCCCCAACACCAGTGGCTTATTTAGCTAATGGCTTGTTTTGGAATGCATAAGGGTCATCGGATGGACTTTTCAGAATAAGTAAAAACATCATTTTTGTCACGCTGATTCATTTACCAACTGGCTCAGAACGGGGAAATTAAAATTGTGCTGTGACTAATATATATATTTTTTGTTTAGTTTTAAACAAAACTTACATTAGCTATAGCGCTTAGCAAGGTTAAACAGATTATAAATAGATTGAGATAATTTGTGCTTCTAACTTTTTCACCATGTCAGCTACTCATCTTTTCATAAAATCTGCTAAGGGGGGGGGGGTTAGGGGAATGATCTTGTGCGAGTAGGCTGACTCAATTGGAATTTGGCACTGTAAAGGTTTACCTATAATTTTAATGAATCAAGGAATACCAGCCATTTGTGTCCATATTTATTAATTCTTTGTGATTTTGTGGGTTTTTTTGGGGGGGTAGGTTTTTTTTATTGGTATTTTAGACCTTTTTTAAAGCGTGCAGTCTTTCGATGTGCTTTCATTTCCAGAGTAGTCACTTGGATTAAGTATTCTTATGTATTATTTATCTTATTCTTATGTATCTGCTTCACACAGAAAGTCAGACCGCAGACTTACTCTTTGATTAAAGTACCTCAACCTCCTGCCAATGGTTTTGGTCACTAAAGGACGGACTTGTGTCATTATTCTTTAGTCATTTTCTGTATTATCAAGCGCACCTGAACAAAAGCTGCAGCGGCCACATTTTATCATGATATATTCTCACTCCCTTTAGTAGGAGTTACCTAGAACTACATTTAAGGCTACAATGCTAATTTCAGTATTTAAAAAAAAAGAAAGAACTTTTTTAAAACCAAAAATCGATCTCTTTAAAGCAAAAAATTCATACATAGGTTGCGTCATTGTTTAAGATGCTGTTTTCATAGCCTAAGAAATAAGTAGTGGCTTACAATCTGGAAACGTTCTCACTTCTATTTGTTTTTTTTTCTCAGATGATTAGACATTTGTCCATGATTAAATTCTCACAGATTCCCCCCCCCCCCTTTTTTTTTTTTTGGGATCACCGACAGCCTAATGTCCAAATCTGTTCAAGTACATTTTGTAACTGTTTATTTCTCTCGTCTGTGTGCTGCTTGGTGGATGGTTTTCAGAGTTGACGGCGTATCATCTGGCCAGGACGAGGTGAAGTCCAGAGTTCTTGGTTCAGGACCGTCGTACGACATATTGCCCTCCAGGTGCCCTGACCAGCCAGCGCTGCACAGTGATGCCTACGCTGCTGCAGATGCACATCAGGAGGAGGGTGAGTCCTCCCAGAACCTCTTACAGCCCTTTGTTAACTTTCTAGGTGATCCTATCAGGAAAGGTACAACTTTACCTGCCCAGTGGACCAAAGTTGGTCTTAGGAGTCCGCTGCCCTGCAGGTTTCAGATGTTTTCCTGCCTCAACACAGCGGGTTAGCATCAATGTGTCATTGGCAAGCCTGTGCAGGGCTTTCGAACGGAACCATTTTGGTCAGATCAGGAGTGCTGTAGCCAGGAAACGCCTATAACCTGCTGGCCAGTGGCCCTCAGAGACTGGACCCCCCCCACCTCACACTATTTGGTTTGGCTTGGATATGGATTCTATGCAATAGACCAACATTAAACAAGTGGAAAGGACAGCAGGCCAATGGACCTACTCCCTCTAATGAAGACTGTGTACCTTTTGTTTAATTAGTAGATGAGAAGACGCGTTATTCGTGTCTGTTTACGCCAAACGTTTACACCCAGTTGTAGTGAACAGCCCTAACAATGTGACCTTAAAGCAATATGCACAGTTAAGACAAAGGAGTTATCCACACAGTTAAGAGAGGCTGTACATAAAATGATCTGTTAGAATGCTGTTAGAAATGAAAGTGAAATCCGAAAAGTCAGTAATCAGGAATTTAACCAGTAATCTGTATTTAAACTAGCTGCTTACCATCAGAAACAAAGAGGAAAGCCTTTGACAACTTCCTGATTTGTCTGAAAACACTTTTGCATGTTGAGTTGCACCATTTGAATTCCCCATGCTCCCCAGGTGGATATGACGGTCAAGGTGTCCGTGATACTACATTTGGTTGGAAGTCGTTGGGGCAAGAGTTGAGGCCCAATGACGTGACAGAGGATTCGAACACTTTTCAGCATGGACATCGTGCTTTAGCTCCAAAGGAAATGAGGAAATCGCAGGGTAAGCCATGAAAAACTAAATTAAGAATGTTTGCAGGTAGAAGATTGACTGCTTTGGATCCTGTATGTGATGATAAATGTTTTTTCTTTTTTCTTTTTCCCCCTCTAAATTTTTAGGTGATCTTAGCAGAAATTGTATGAATAGATGGATTAATTCAAATTTTCTAAATGTAAAAATCCTTTTTTTTTAAAAATATAACTTTTTTTTTTTTTTACAAAATTGAAAGTTTAAAAAAATTATGAGTTTTCCTTATTTTATTTTTTCCCCATTGTGTAAAAATATTTGATAAGAAATGCAGTTTAGATGGAAAAAATGGTTATAGTTTTCTTCCATCCATCCATTTTCTATTATTCCTTCCCATAGTATAGTATCCAATAGGGTCATGGATGCAATACACAATAAATATACACAATATACAAAAAATATATATATTTTACAAATAGCATCTAACTTGCGTCGCTAATTTCTTTTCCTCTTCTTTTAAATTTTTTTTCCACACATCAACCATTTCTATTACTTTGTGTTTTTGATTCTTTGTTTGGACGTATGGACAAATAATGACCCAGAAAGCTTTGGACGAACATTTAGAAGTGTGTATATATATATATATATATATATGTAATGTGGATGTTTATTGACCAGACTGCTGACCGTTGCCATGGCATTTTCTCTCACACATAGATTTAGGCAGATACCACTGAAAGTAAATACAAAAGAAAGAAAGGTTCATTTTAAATGAGCCAAACATTTAATTTGAGGGTTTACGTTACTGAATTGGCCGAAAAAGCACAAACAAAACAACAAAGAAGTCTTTGCTGTTGCAGACCGAGGGATTGCTCACTCGGAGGAGACTCGACTTGCCAACCTCCTGCGTCGGGTCTCCAGGGAGGACGATCGCGACCGGAGGCTGGCCACCCTAAAGCAGCTGAAGGAGTTCATCAGCCATGGCGAGAGCAAAGTGGTCAGTTTTCCAGTCGCTTCTCCTTTTTCATCGTGGTTCGATGTTGGGCTGTAGACCTTCAGTCTAAGTGGGGGAATTCCTTATTAGTGACACAGAATTGTGAGTTCTTTGTTGACACCTCTTACAGTCGGTGTGTTTTTCTGTGTGTTCTCTCAAACAGACCCTGGTCAAACAGTTGGACACCATCCTCAGCACCTTGAATGATATTTTGAATGAGAGGTAAGGACTGCTATGGGGTTGTACACTCATTATTGTTGTCCTCTGATACATTTGAATTTGGTTTTAAGTCTTGGAATAACTCTTTTGTTGAAGCTATAGATTTCTATATCCTTTTAACTAACGTGTCTCAAGACAATCTCTCAAGGCAGTAAACTCTGTCCAAAACAATTTTTATTTTTTTTTAACTCTCTTTTTAACTGATCCGGCTGACTTCTAGTTTAAAAAACGTCATGTAATGTTTTTTAAACCTCTTGCAGTATAAAGTTTTTTTTTTTTTTTTTTTTCAGTAATTAGTTTTTTCAGTGTTGGACATGTTTGAACTGATATTTATCCTGCTGTAATGTGAAAGTTGGAGCCCTTTTCACATGGTGATAATTTATTGAGAGGAGGATTTATTTAGTTCTGGAATGAACGTTTCACCAGTGTTCCTGAAATCATTTAAAGGCTTGTGGTGGAAAAAAAACTTATTCCTTTTTTATTTTTTTGGTAACATTAGGAGAAAAACTTTTGATTTTGGCTACTTTCGAACATGTTTTAGGTGATTTTCACTGTTTTGTTTGATGACTGCCAGTAACGACATATCTGATTCTGTTCTGACGCGTGTAGCAGTAAGCTCCTGTGGGAGCTGCGTCAGGAAGCGGCGGCCTCCCTGGGCCTCCTCTGCACTGTGCTCAGCTACGAGGCCGAACGAATCTTCAAGTGGCTGTTTCTCAAGTTCAGCTCCAGCAGTCGCGACGAGGTGAAGCTGCTGTATCTGGTGGCGGCGCAGCGCGCCCTGGAGGCTGCCGGCGAGAGGAAGGCCTTCTCCCACATCATGCAGGTGAGAACTCTCAGGGTCCTGATGCAGTTCTGTCCCATCAGTGGCATTTCAAAGAAGTGACCGTTTGTGTGTGTTTCAGCTGGTGATGAGCAACCTGCAGTCCATCCTGGAGAACGTGGACACGCCGGAGCTCCTGTGTCAGAGTGTGAAATGCATTCTCCAGGTGGCCCGCTGCTACCCCCATGTTTTCAGCACCAACTTCAGAGTGAGTGTTTCACAGATGGGCTCATTTTGGCCAGTGTCAGCTCAGTGCCCTGATAGGTTTTTTTTTCCCTCCCTTTTCTTTTCTCTCAGGACACGGTGGACATTTTGGTGGGCTGGCACATCGACCACACGCAGAAACAGTCGCTCACTCAGCAGGTTTCAGGTCAGTTTAGCTTCAGATTCCAAACCTTATGGCGTGCTCATCGTTGCAATTTTTGGAGCACGTGAATCGATTTGTTTGAGCTTTTTTTCATCATTTCAAATGATTTCCAGACCTCTTGGATTGTTTTGTTTTTAATTAATGTAAGTTTAACCTTACGTTTCCTGTTAGTATGTTTTACTGAACCCAACTGGGGCCCTCTTACAATCTTTAGTCTTCTATAGAGGTTTTGAGTCTGACCTGTGGTTATGTCTCTCTCAGCTGTCAAATGAAGATCATTAGTGCCACAAAAACGTTGGGGGAAAAAAAGACGCCTGAGAAAACACTTTTTGACCTTTTGTGCGATATTTCTAATTTAACTTCCGAGGAGAAGTAGAGCCATCTTTACCTGAATGGATATTTCAAGTAGTTATTTGTTAATGCTGCAGAAAGTTAGCAGAAAGTGCTTTATGAATCCTATAGATAGTAATTCTGACACAGATGCTTCACATTACTGCTGTCTTGCGGAAAAGGTTGCAATCCAAAGGTTTTCCTCCCGCTTGACTCTCCCTCTTTGTGTGCAGTTTGGTTACAGAGTCTGGAGCAGTTCTGGGTGGCAGACCTGGCGTTCTCCACCACTCTGCTGGGCCAGTTCTTGGAAGATATGGAGGCTTATGCAGAGGTGACCTGGCCGAGCTTTTTGACTGTTCTGTAAAATCAAAATTCATTATTCAGAGCAGCTACTCGAAAAATGAACAAATGAATAACAGATCAATAATTTGACACAAACCTGGCGAGAGGGATTTTACCCCTGAGCTGACCGGCGCGTTCTTTTTAGGACCTGAGCCACGTTGCCTCGGGGGAAACTCTGGATGAAGACATCCCCCCTCCCTCGGTGTCCCTGCCCAAGCTGGCAGCTCTGCTGAGGGTTTTCAGCACCGTAGTCCGCAGCATCGGAGAGAGGTTCAGCCCTTTGAGAGGCCCGCCTATCACAGAAGTCTACGTCAATGATGTAAGAACCTCCTGTGTAAAGAACGAGAAAGATTACCATGAAATGCTGTAAATGCACCACAGTACATCAGTTAGGAGATTGTTTTGTGGAAGCAAAGACTTGACAAATCAGAAACTTCTTGGTCAATAGGCTGTCGGACAAACACGGATTAGCATTATTACAGATTTGACTCTCAAATTTTGAAACCAGCAACAACCCGCATAAAAAAACAACTTCTACTGAGATTTAGTTAGAATTTTACATGAATATTTGAATCAAACTGGGCTAAATTGATTTTTTTTCTTAGATGAACTTTCAGAACTCGCACTCTTTTCTAAAAAAAAATCTAAACTAAACCTTTCTCCCTCCAGGTTTTGAGCCGAGTCCTGGGTTGTGTGACGGCGGCAAAGCAGGTGCAATTCTCCGAGATGGTCCTCACAGCTGGAAACGAGTGCGTGGGCGTTCTTCTGGCCAGCGTGGAGCCCTGCGGCCAGCTGATGGAGGCCGTCCTGGCCTATGGCCTGGAGCAGCTCCGCTGCTGCAAGGGCTGCGGCTCCGACTACAGTCTGGCAGTGCTCAGCCTTCTCACGCTGGTACGGGCCTGTCCATGGTCTCTGTCTGTCCTATTCCCTCCGGGTTGACCCCAAGCTCTGTGCCAACTGGGAATTCTCCCCCTTTTCCTGTTAGGATACAGTTGCATTGCTGGGATCATACCACATGGTTTTGAGCGCGTCAATCCTCAGATTACGGCGTTAAGTTGTTAAAATAAGGCAAATAAATGCTGTTGTGCTTTTTTAGATCGTGGACCAGGTAAACACCAAGGTGCCCGTGACCTTTGTAGAGAAAGTGCTGGCGCCAGAGTCTCAGCTGCTGAGCCTTCGCTTCCACCCAGAAAAAGAGGTGATTGTTTTTTCAAATTAAAACCTGGTATTCCGATATGATGTTGTCAGTTCATGTCATGTGTTGTCTTGAGGTTTTTTTGCTACTCAGGCAGTCATTTTCAATCGTCAAAAAGCCTGAACATTCCCCTTTTCTCTGCCTCCACTTCAGCAAACGGGTTTGCCATCAGAGTTTGAACTCTGGCTTTTCGGATGGGATTCACTCAGTTTAGAAAAGCATCCGTCTCTGTAAATACTTATTTGTGAGATTATTCAGAAGTGGTTGAGGCACATGGTTTATTTAGTCTGTTTCATCATGTTTGAGCAGACTTCAAACGGTTCTAGTTTCTTTTAAGAGCAAATTATTTAGCCATTTTAATATATTTAGCTTGGCTGTTATAAAATTATTTTCTCTCCATAATTTCTCTGTATGCTGTTTACAATATATTTGTTTGTATGAATAGTCTATTCTATTTGAATAATGCCAGGTTGTGCCTAAAAATTCACTTAAATACTACTGCTGTTATATCATTCCAGCTTGTCTAAATTTGAAATGATACAACTCGATACAAATCTTTGTGTCGGCATACTTGACAGAGCAAATGTCTTCAAAGCTTCTCTGTCTGTTGTGTGTGTGTGTGTATGTGTGTGTGTGGTGCACAGGTGATGTCAGCGGTCCATGGTGTCTACCAGGCACTGCTGAGCCTCAAAAACATCCCCACGCTGGAGGCGGCCTACAAAATGGTTCTGGGCGAGATGGCGTGCTCCCTGGTCAGCCTAATGCAGAGCCTGGACCTCCCGGGCGACCTCTGTCCAAACATCCAGCACCCTGCCTTCGCCTCCCTCACCCCGACTCTGGAAAAAGCCCAGTTCATCCTCATCTTCAACCTGAGCACCCTCACCACCATCGGGAACACCAAGAATTCCCTCATAGGGGTCAGCCGTTGGTCCTCTCTAATAACACTAAACTAGAAATAGTAGTCGGATCGTACAGAATTGTGTGTGAAACTTGAGCCTTTGTGTGTCATCCAGATGTGGGCGTTGTCTCCCACGGTATTCGCTCTTCTAAGCCACAATCTGATGGTGGTCCACTCTGAGCTGGCGGTCCACTACCCGGCCATCCAGTACGCTGTGCTCTACTCCCTGTACTCGCACTGCACCAGGTAATGCATTTGCATGCCATCTCAGCAACAGAGCGCCTGCTAACCATCCAGAAGTGCTTTCATAAAAATAAAGATATTAATAACAAAGGACAGTGCAGGAGGGCTGTCGCTAAGGAGAAATATACGACTGCAAATTTTGCGAGCGTCTTCATTTATGTGATTTAAGAACCAACTGATTTGTTTGAAGATTTAATTTGAAGTTGCTTTGAATTCTTATTATTATGAATAAATGGGAATAGTGATCCAAGCTCTCTACCCCATAAACTGTACGCCAGTCAGTTATTAATCACCTGTGTAGTCCTGACAAGCTTTTTGAATATAATAATTACATTTTTGGATTAAAGTGGTAAGTATTTAAACAACTTGGAAAAAAAAAAATCCAATCCAAACAGTGTAGTTAGTTTGAATTAAAGTAACCTTTGATAAAAAGCCTTTCTGGTCGCATGAAATTTTAAACTTCAGCTTATAGCCATTAATGGCATGACTCCAAAGAGAGAAGATGTTCAGCTGAACCTTTATTTTTCATATTTTTGTTGCTCAGATGTTGCACTGGCTACTGAATGAATCAAATTGTGTGTCATGAAAAAAAAAGTTTTGACAAAAAGTGCATCGATCCTGGTGTTTATTATTCAGCCTTCACAAACACAACGATTCTCTTCTCTTTTTGCAGGCACGACCATTTTATCTCATCCAGCTTGTCGTCCTCGTCGCCCTCTCTGTTTGATGGAGCCGTTATTAGCACGGTTACCACAGCAACAAAGAAACATTTTAGCACACTGCTAAGCCTCCTCGGAGGTCTGCTGTCAAAGGAGCATCTCTACCCTGAAGCCAGGTTCACACTCCTACTCATAAAACCCAAAATGTCCAAACAATTTGGGCTGATTTTGTATGATTGGTGGTCTTTTTTGGTGTGTTTAGGAAGCTGCTGCTGACGTGGGCTCAGGAAATATCCTTGCTGATGATGAAGTCGGAGACCTACAGCCCCCTCTTCTCCTTGCCCTCCTTTAGCAAGTTCTGCAGGGGCCTGCTGGACAATGGTGACTCCAGAAGAATGTCAAGCGCAGAGCTATTCATTTATGGAGTTCTGGGTTTTCCCTTTGACTCATTAGAAAAGTCTCATAACTCATTTCCTTCCTTGTTTTTCTCTTGGTAGCTCTGCATGAAGATCAGAGTATCACTCTTCAGGCCTGTCACAGTTTGCAGGTCCTGTCCTCATCTCTGTCTACTGAACTGCTACAAAGGTGAGCCTTCAAATGTGGACTCCCGAGCTGCTTTCAGGCCTCTTCCAGGCCCTAGTTAAAGCTGGTCTTTGAGGGTAAAGTTAAGGTGGAATTACTGAGACCTGATATGAGCTTCTCTGCACACATGGTGAAAGAAAGCTCAGTGCAGATGTGCTCCTTTCTTTTTCAGGTGTGTGGATGTGTGCAGAGTCCAGCTGGTGCACTCAGCAGTGAGGGTCAGGCAGTCCTATGCCAAACTGCTCAGGGTAATCCCGTTGGATGTGGCTTTGAGGTAACGATCACTTTAAAAGATGAAACTGAAAGGTTCAGGAAGCACTTTTTAACAGTGTTTAACATGTTCTGTTTAAAAAGTTTAAAAAAAGGTGACATTTATATATGTCACCTATGTTTTTTTAATGATTAAATATGTACTTTCATTTTATTTATTTTTTCTTTTGTTGTAATATATGGTCATTTTGAGTATTTTAATTCTCTTCTTGTTTTTTGCCTTTTCACAGTAACCACAGCCACTCTGAGATCAGGGATATATCTCTCGCCATCCGCCATCACATGAGCCGTGCACCGAGCAGCACTTTCCACCCTCAGGATTTCAGCGACCTCATCAGTTTCATCCTGTATGGAGTCCTGCACCGTGGGGGGTACGGTCCAGTCTCTTGTTACAAACCCTTCCCTGAATAGACTTTTCCCCAGCAGTGAAGCAAAAAATGTTTTTTTTTCTTTTTTTTTTCTTTCTGTGTGACCACTGCAGTAATGTTCTTCTTGCAGTCCGTCTCCACAGATTTGCAGGGACCACATGCAGCCGCATACAAACTTGTTCATGAGCTTTTCCTATCCTTATCCACAGGAAGGATCCTTGGCTGGAGCGCCTGTACCACAGCTGCCAGCGGCTGGATAAGCGGGACGGCCGGGCGGGTGCTGACGGAGGCCGGCCGGAGGTGGTGGCGCGAGCCTTGCTGAAAACGGAGGTGGTGCTGTGGCAGTGGGCGGTGTGGGAGGCGGCCCAGTTTACCGTCTTGTCCAAGCTCCGCACTCCTCTGGGCCGAGCCCAGGACACCTTTCAGACCATCGAAGGTACCGGAGCGGCACGCAGAGTGCGCTTAAAGCCTGTGCAGGAATTACGAAAGAAAACGGGGTCATATCACCTCGTCTAGACCTCGTTTCCATCTCTTCTTACTCGCCTTTTGTTTGTTATTATTTCCCTTATTTCTCAGGGATGATTCGAAGCCTGGCTGCACACAGCATGAACCCTGAGCAGGATCTTGGAGCGTGGGCTGGAACCGGGAGCGACGGCGACGGCCACCACTCCAATCAGCTCCGCCTCACTCTGCTGCTCCAGTACCTGGAAAACCTGGAGAAGCTGATGTACAACGCCTATGAAGGCTGTGCTAATGCTCTCACTGCTCCACCAAAGGCAAGATTTCTTTCTTCTTTTTTTAAGTTATATGCGTTTCATTTGCGACTTCCAAAATGAAATGCTGAGATCTGAACAGATGTACAATAGCCACTCTGATGTTTTAATGGAAATATCCCTTCTTTTTTCCCCCCTGATGATACAGGGTATTAAGACATTCTTCTACACAAACCGTCAGACGTGCCAAGACTGGCTGACGAGGATCCGTTTGGCCCTGATGAGAGTCGGCCTCCTGTCCGGCCAGCCCGCAGTGACTGTCCGGCACGGCTTTGACCTGCTCACAGAGTTTAAGAACAGCAGCACCCAGGTCAGTAGGTCTGAAACGCCGACATTACGGGATCGAGGGACGCTGTCCCCTCTCACCGGACAGTCACCATCTTTTTGTGTGCTCCCAAGGCTCCAGAGTTAGAAGTTCCCCTGGCGTTGTTGGTGGAGGCTCTGTGCGAGCTGCGCTGTCCCGAGGCCATCCAGGGCCTGGCCGCCTGGAGCCTCCTCAGCACGGGCAAAAGCCTGGGCTGGCTGTCATCTGTAGCCCTTCAGGCCGAGGGACGGTAAGCAAAAAAGCTCCCACTTAAATAATCAAATTAAACCTCAAATGACACATTTCGGTTCAAATAAATGACAAAAATGGTTTCCTATTACTCAAATGTGTGTGTGTGTACTTTTAAAGGTTTGAGAAGGCAGCTCTGGAGTATCAAGACCAGCTGTCTGCGGTCACTGGGATGGACTGCAGCATCAAGACTTCTGAAAACTGTTTGCTCAAACTCTCCAGCACCACCAGCAGCCCCAAACACACCAGCAACGGTAGCCCACAGCACCTCATATTTCCTGTGCAGCTCACTTAAAATGCTGCTGCTTTCCCCCATGTATACCTAAATATACGTTTAATTTCTGTTCTGATCTGCTGTTGTCCAAAAAAGATGGAAGTATGAGCACTTGAGTGATTAATTTATTTTTTAATGATTTCTTTTTCCTCTTTTTTCGTGTGTGTGTATAAAAGGTGACAGCAGGAAGACGGTGCTGCTCAAGTCCAACGAGTGCTCCCCCGAGGTGATCAGCTTCCTGGCCAACAAGGCCTGCCAGTGTTACGTGGCGCTCTGCGACTGGGCCTCTGTGAAGGAGTGGCAGGCCACAGCAAACGCCCTCAAGCAGAGCTCCACCAATCCCGTCAACATCAGCCTGAGGACCGACCTCAACTACATCCAGGCCCTGAGCCGCTTCGAAGAGGGCGACATGGCGGAATGTGGCGCCCAGCTGGAGCTGCTGCCAGGAGAGGACTACAGCTCTCTGTCCAGCTCCAAAGACAAGCTCGGTCAGTGTGGCCGGCCGTTTAAAGCACATCGGAAAGGCCTCATGAGCCCGTTCCATGACATCCAGGACACATGCCTGAACTCGGCTTAAAAGGATTTAACTTTGTGGATTTTGTGCATGCGTGTCATCAGATCTGAAGAAGCTTCTGCCTTCCATGAGTCCAGATTCAACCGAGCTCCAGCGAGCCATTGAGGTGCAGCTTCTTCGCAGTGCTGTCAGTGCCTTGACAAAAGCCAACGAGCAGCAGGAGCAGAGGACTACACCCAATCCAGAGTAAGTCCTTTTTTATTTAGTATTGCTGTTTTTTATACCTAATCCATTTCTTACTGTTTTCTAAAGCTGAACTCGGGAAGAAAAAGAGGGATTTTTACTTACTAAAATTGTAATTTGCCAAAAAATTGTATTTCTTTTTCTTCTGAGTACATTTCTGGAAAAAAAAACTAACCAAAAAGAAATAAAGTTGGTTCAGTGAACTGCTGTGTGGGAAGTTCTCAGCTGTCAACATTTGTATCCCAACATTCAAAGCCATCTCTTCCATATATGGACCCAAACCCAAAACGTGCCCTTTCCTTTAGTTACCAACCTGAATGCTGTGTTCTGCCTGTAACTCTTAGATAGTATTTAGTGAAACTGACTACAGAAATCACTAAAAATCTATGCCGATACAATGTTTTTAGGTAACGCTTCTTGCTTAAACTCAACTTTTCTCCGGTGTCACATCCAAATTTGTCTTAAGATGGCCACTGGAGTCTAAGAGCAGCTTTTTTCCGAACCGGCATTATTTTTGGGCTATCATCTGTTTATTCCTCACCATTGAATTACAGTGGCTGTACTGGCTGCCTTCTATATAGCAGCATTCAAACTGTGTGTGTGTGTTGGAATATTTGCCTTTAGTTTGTCTTTCCTCTCCCTTTCCCAGTCCCGTCCCTCCCGTGCTGGGAGGCTGTCTCCATGCTGGACAGCAGTCTTTGAATCTCTTAATGTTGTTTCAGTACGTTTGTGCGTTGCCTGAAACAGACAGGACGGATCTGTTTGGGCCCTCTTCGTCTGTCCACCCTCACTCTTTCCGACGCCCTGCCCACGCTGCCCACCCTGCAGCTCCACTGCGCCGCTACCCTGGAGAACACCCTTTCAGGTCAAGATGTAAGTACATCATTTGGTTTCATTTGATGGTTAATTTAACCAAAGACCTCTCACGCAGCTCGCTTCAACGATGCTTTTCGTTCCTGTTCTTCGCAGGACTGTGTGATTCCTCTGAGCAGCGAGGCTCTTAATTCCTGTAAGCAACAGGATGTTCAGCTTTTCCTCCAAGCGCTCAGATATTCCACATTCCAAAGGGAGCTCCTCCACAAACTGAAAGGTAACTACTGAGGATTAGAGATGGGTGTATGTCCCTGGTGGCATTGATAGGCAGGAAATGGAAAAGGAGAATACTGTTGATCACAAAGCTTTGGTCATTGTGCAGGGATATTTGTTGTTTTCCTTTTTAAATTGCTTTCAGTATAATTATCCCAGTCAATGTGATGTAGAGATAAAGTGGCCATGTAATGTAATGAGGATCCTCCTGGCACAAAATGCTAAAAAGTCTACACAGTCTTACTTGCATTAATTCAAGCAGGTTTAACATAAAATGAGAATGCACTATTTAGTTAAGGAAGAAAAATGGTAAAATAGACTTGATGATGAAGGTTTATGTACACCCTAATGGCCTCAAAAATCAGGAAAATTTATCAGAACATTAATCTTAATGTCTCGAAAAGGGCATTCGGGTCTTCTTGGATCATGACATGACCTCCACAGTAACCTAACTCTATTTCGTTCTATCTGAAAATGTTAAATAATGCTTAGAAAAACTAGAGTGCATTGCAGCTTAAAGCTCAGAGAACCCCTCCCATTGGTCCTGCCCAGGTTACTCGTCCTCCATCGACGGCCACATGACGGAGCTTTGTTTGACCGCTGTCAAATTCGCCCGCAAAAAGGGCAACATCGCCCTGGCGTCCCGCCTCCTCAGCCAGTGCAGCGACACCAAGCAAGAGGAGAAGCAGGACGACGACCCGATCCAGGCCTTCAGGCGTCTCAGTCTGGAGGGAACTCTGGGGGAGAAATGGGGACCAGAAGTTCAAATAGAAAAAGCCAAAGTTCTGAGAACAGCAGGTGAGAAAGGAAAAACAAAAGCATTCAAACTTTTGTTCCCTCTATGTTTTGGTCTCTATGAATGCTAAATGTCTGTTATTAAGCTGCTAGTTTGTCCAGGCTGTGTACTGTGCATGTTCATAGTGGTCAGGAATAGTATTAATTCTGAACTTTCTGGACATCATGGCTGGGAATTTGCTGCATATATGGCCAGCATGTTTCATAAAGCTGAATCAGAAAATGGACTCTTTAAAATGTTCATACTATTCAGATCTGTATCACAGTGCAAACATCATTTTTATAAAGATTTCCGGATGTCTAGGGTCCCGTTATTATCATTCTGCTAAGTCCTGAAATTGTTTAGTGGTCCATGAAAACAGATTTGACATAAAAGGTGGAGTCAAAGGATTGCAGGATTAAGCTCTCTTTGAAGTATCCAGAACCTCAGATACATCCTTGAGATTGTCATTGAGTGTCTTTCTAAAGAAGGAAAAACACCAAAAAAGGTCAGATTTGGAGATGCTTGTTGCAATCTCTCAGTAACTATTGATGGATTATTGCTTCTCTCTTTCTTTAGGAGCTCCATCCTGCCAAACAAATACATTTTCTACCCTCCATGTTTGTTTTTTGTTCACATCTACTAATATGAACACTACCTTTCCTGTTAAAAGCTTTAGTGATCGTAATGTTTAAGGACACTTGGTGACCTGTACAGATGTAAACCTGCCCTGAGGCTTTCTTAACATTACAGTGGATCATGGTGCAGAGCAATAGTGCCTTCATTTTCATTCTGCCCTCTTCCACAGGCCAGTCGTTGACAGCCATGGAGATGCTGAGCAGGGCCGCCCTGTCCTACTGCCACGTGGGGAAGAATGAAGGCGCCGCCTGCCGCTCTCTGCTGACGCTCTGCAAATGGCTGCTGGCCGACTGGAAGGACATGACCCCTCAGCTTAAGCAGGCAAGCCCCATTTGATTGTGATTTAACATTCAGCATTTTTAGAAAAAACTCTTCACAACTTTTTGCTAGCCTGAGTTAGGGTTCAATTGTCAAAAATGTAAAGGGGAAAATCATTTTTTAAAAATCTATAATTTATATATATCAAGCGAGAGAGATACAGGCCTCTTTTAACTTATTGTAAATGTATTTAAGGACTAATGAAGGGTTTTCTCAGGTGGTAAAGAAGTCAGGAGCCGTAAACTCTTGTACTCTGGGCAACATGTCTCCGCTCAGCGTGAACATCGCTGCTTTGCTGGAGCTTCCCCTGGAGGATCAGGGAATTCCTCTCATCACACCGGAGACTTCAGGTAACATTAAACACCGAAGCTATTATCTACATCAGCGTTACCAAACCTTTTTTCCCCCCCAAAGCTTTTTAGTAGCCATATTAAAGGCATATGGCCATGACAGTTCAATGCGCAGTAGGACATAACTTCTATATTTCGTCTTAAAATGACGTGTAGAAGAATACTTTTAAGTGAATACATTGTTAATTTGAATGCATGTTTAATTATTTTTTTAAATTACAGTTGGAGCTTGAAACCTGCTTCTTAGGATGCTGCTTAACATTCTTGAGGTTCTTTTACATACACAGAAAGAGAAAGACTGTATTATAATGATGAATTAGTGGGGCTAAGACCACTAAATACTTCTGCCTTACATGAATGCACTTTTAGTTTAAACATTGCAGTGAGGCAGTCTTGTTGACTACTCAGGGGTCCTGTTCCAGGACAGTACAGTCATACTTACACATTTCAAAATATTTCTGAGCGCGTTGTACGACTAAAATTGTTTAGTAAGCACAACAAGTTGTGATGCGCAAGGCAACCTGCCCATTTTCCAGCAAATTTAAAGTCAGTCAGCTTTATTGTCAATTCTGTAATACACTCTCAGAAATATTCAGAGTCAAAATTTTGTGCTCTTACGCTCCCGGACAACAAAATAAGAATTAGAAATATAAGTCGTAATAAAACAGAAATTAGGAATATAAGTAAAAGCTATAAAATATACGCTCATGTGCAAAAAAACAAAAAAAGGATTTTAAGTACACCTTATAGTCTGAAAAATACGGTAATGTGGTTTATTTTTCCATTAGACAACAACAGTTTAATTTGACCCTTTTGAGCGTTTGCTTTGCCCGGACAGTGAATGTGGGCGTGGGAGAGCCAGACTTCGTGTTGGGGCAGCTCTACCAGCTCTCGACCAGCCTGGCTCCGGAGGTGGCAAAGTCCTGGGCGGCCCTGGCCAGCTGGGCGTACCGCTGGGGCAGGAAGGTGGTGGACAATGCCAGGTGGGTGGACGTCCCAGAAGCCTCACCTGAACATTTCTGCCTTCTGCTAGCAGTGGTAGGTTTGTAGGAAAACAACTGTATGTTTACTGTTCTTCTCTCTAGTCAAGGGGAGGGTTTGCCCCTCCTCCCAGGAGAAAAGAAAGACATAGAAGATCTGCTGCCAGCATCCACCAGTGACGAAGACAAGGACACCATCTTCAGCATTCTTGGACAGGCCATGTGTCGTCCAACTGGTATTCAGGTAGGCACAGCTTTTAAAGACAAAGAGAAAAAAAGTACAAACCTTTAATTTCAACCAGCCTTGACTGACACAAATAAGCAAGTTGTAATACCTCTGTAATACCTTTTTATTTTATTTTTATTTTTATTTTATTTTTTTGCATTTCCAAAATGGCTTTTTTGCTGCTTACTTCACTATTAGGTCTTTTTAGTTTTGTGTGTTATTGAGCACAGCGGTTTGGGTTCATCAGGGTGTGTGGTTGTGCTACAGGATGAGGACATGGCCCTACAGCAGGAGGACGAGGAGGACGACATGGTGGACGTCATCTGGCGGCAGCTCACCGGCTCCTGCCCCTGGCTGGGGGAGGCGGGCCAGGCGGTCACCGACGGCCTGATCCGGGTCTGGAGGCGGGTCGTGGACCGCATCTTCGGTTTATACCGCGTCTCCTGCCACGCCTACTTCACCTTCCTCAAACTGAATGCAGGACAGGTGAAGTTTTTTCTGTTTTCGACTGGAAAACTGCAGGGTTTTGTTGTGTGAGGGCGTCTTGGCGTTCAGACTAATCCCATCGCTGTCTTGTGCTTCTAGGTTCCTGTGGATGAAGATGATCCTAAACTCCTGCTGTCCTGCCACAACAGCAAACAGAGCAGTGACGATGTCATCGTCATGGCGACCCTCCGTCTCCTGCGGCTGCTGGTGAAGCATGCTGGTGAACTCAGGGAGGGGCTTGAGCTGGGGATAGCTTCTACCCCCACCGCGCCCTGGAGGGGTACGCCAGACTTTAGAATAGACAAACATTCAGACACGTTTTATGCATCCAAACCTTTTCTTTTTCTTTTTTTTCACCTTTCTCCCTGAATGTCACACTTGCACAGTGATATTTAATTTGTTTCTCTGTTTGTACATTTAGAAATTTAAGCTTAAATGTGGCTACAGACGTGGAATTGGAGTAAAGATGAGCACAAGGGAGCAGCCCTCCTGAGCCATTCTTCCAAAATTATTCTAATTTTAATTTTTCTACACAAATTTAGGAACTCTGACACAGGTTTTCCACTGTTCTCGCATTAAACTCTAAGCAGCCTTAAACTCTATCTGACACAGGAAAACTTAAAAAAAAAAAGTATAACTTAACCTAGATCTTGGATAATGAAGACCTTCTTCTGCCTTAGGTATCATCCCCCAGCTCTTTTCACGTCTCAACCATCCAGAGGCGTACATTCGGCAGAGCATCTGCAGCCTGCTGTGTCGGGTGGCCCAGGACTCCCCCCATCTCATCCTCTACCCTGCCATCGTAGGATCACTGTCCCTTGGAGGGGAGGCTCAGAATGCAGGTAATGCTTCTTAAAAAATCAAAGGTTTCTGTTGATATTCAGTTTGACTGCAATAAGATGTAGAAGAGATTTCGACCATTGGCCCAAATGGAGAATGATCTATTTACTTTCAAACGTATACCAGAGCAAAAAGTTAGTTTTTTTTTTCCCTTGTTTTTTTCTTACTGTGAAGACCAATATGTTTAACAAACTGTTCTTATAGGTTAGAATACAAACATAAGATGCACACTTCATAAATATATATATTACAAATTCTGAAAAACAAGGTTATCTCCAAGTATTCACGTTAAAATGCAACTTTTTACAAAACCGTAAGATTTGGCCGTAAAAACAGCGGTTTATTCTTTGATATCTGCTCTTTGGAGACTCTAGTGAGGCCGCTACTCCATTTGAACCTCACTGGAATAAGTTAACGTGTGTCGGTGGAATTTTTGGTTTGTTTTTAGTTTTAGCTGAAGGGAACAAAAAAAGTTCGGCTCTGAGTAATCGGATTCAATCATTTCAGTTGAATTAAAATCTCATTTCACTCAGTCAAAACAAGAAACTTAATATTCTAATATTGTAATAACAACAATTGCATCACAAACCTGAACCATATGTTCTGCTTTAAAAAAAAAAATACCATCACTTCTTTCATCTCTGCATTTTGTTGATTGGATTAAACCAAACTGACTAAACCAGGTCGTCATCATTAAAGCTTTTTCGCGGGTCTGTCAGCTAATGACGAAATGCCTCAACAGGGAGCAAACTCCCACCTGCCCTGCCCAGTTTCTTGGGCAGCATGCAGGGAGAGGACATGGGCGGGGAAGAGGAGGAGCAGCTGGAAGCGGCTGAACCAGGAGGACCCCAAGACGAGCTGGCGCCCTGCTCCAGTCAAGACCAGGCCATGATGCAGGACTGCTACAGCAAGATCGTGGAGAAGCTGGCGGCGGCCAACCCCACCATGGTGCTCCAGGTAGGAGGCCGCCCACAGGGGAACGCTACCATGTAGTCAGAGGGGTTTGTCATCCGCTGCGCTCCACTCATAAGGCCTGCCGACAACTATCCGGCCCAGTAAGAGTGGTTACTTGGGTTTAGCTTTGAAGTTTAAGTACGATTAGGATTGTTAATTTCTTACTGGGTCACACCACCATGATAATTTGTTCCAGAATTGTCTTATTTTTTAATTATTTATTTTAGGAAAGCCTTTTTTCCAGTACCTTTGGACACACTCGCTGTGATAACTAAGGACACAGACTTAATTTTCCTTTTCCTGACTAACATTCACCTCCTTGTTTGTTGTTTCTTGTTCATTCTGCTTCTTACTAAACAGAAGGGTGAAAAACGACTATTTAAAGCTGAACATAATCACTCCATTTTCTACTTCAAAAGCTACCCGATTGAGTTGCAACCACTCAGCCATTCTTTAGTCTGTCGTTTTATGATTTAGTGTTTAAATATTTGGGGAAAGTACTCTAGGGAAGAATACCAAACTGTGGCACTATCTGGACCCGGCCATTTCCTGGGACCACTGTCTTTGTCCCCATACATTATAACTGAAGTTTCAAAGCTGCAGACACATTTAACCACCTCTCATTTTTCACTGATCATTTGAATTGTTGTTCAAGCAAAGTGACAATATGGAAATGCTTTAATCGAAGTGTGGGTGATGCTGAATGTATCCGTCATGTATTGAAGACACATGAGGGACGTCTCTTTTTCTTTCTTTTTTTTTATGGTCAAATTCTGTGAGGTTCCAGTGGCGGTCCATTAGACTCAACCTTTCTTTGTCCAGGAGTTGCTAACCGTCCTGTGCGTTTAGGTCCAGCAGCTGGTGGGGGAGCTGCGCAGAGTGACTCTGCTCTGGGACGAGCTCTGGCTGGGCGTGCTGCAGCAGCAGCACATGCACGTGCTGCGCAGGATCCAGCAGCTGGAGGACGAGGTCAAGAGGGTGCAGAACAACAACACCTTACGCAGGTGCGGCTTTTTACACTCATGGCTCTATTTCACCCGCCACACAGAACTTAGTGTTTAAACCAGCTTAAATTCACATCTGAGCCCATCATGTAAAAGCGCCTATGAGATTGTTGTCTTTTTTTTGAGAACTTTATTTAGATTTATTCTGTTACAAAATGGAGAACATATGACAACAACTAGTTAACCCTACTCACCCACCCCTCACAAGGCCAAAGAAAAGACTCAAGAAAAGAAAAGTCAAAGTATATCTAAATGCACACACACATGTATAGAAGCACTGTTACATGAAAAAAGCCAGTCTGATAAACAATTCGTACTCTTAATACACTATTTTAATTCTGCATCTTCGAAAGTGTTTTACATATTTGGGTATTTGTTGAATCATCGCCAATCTTCATGTGCGACTTATCAAAGTGAAATTGAAGCATGTTTTTCATGGCCTCGCCGTATCGTCGGTGCTGGTGAGCTTCACTTCTGCTCCTGCTTTTTCCCGCAGGGACGAGAAGATCGCCATCATGCGCGAGAAGCACTCGGCGTTGATGCGCCCGGTGGTTTTTGCCCTGGATCACGTGTGCAGCATCACATCGGCGCCAGCAGAGACCCCCCACGAGACCTGGTTCCAGCAGACCTACGGCGACGCCATCACCTCGGCCCTGGAACGCCTTAAAAGCCCCGCTAACCCCGCCAACCCCGCCAGCAGCTGGCTGCCCTTCAAACAGGTGGCTGCCCGGGCGCCGGCCTCGGTTTAGACGCACACATCCACACAGAGCCTAACTGGAGCGTTGTGTGCTTTGGGTAGATCATGATGAACCTGCAGCAGCGGGCTCAGAAGCGAGCCAGCTACCTGCTTCACTTGGACGAGATCAGCCCTCGACTGGTATCCATGACGGAAACGGAGATGGCTCTGCCCGGCGAGGCCTCGGCGTCAGACGCCGTCACTATTCAGAGTGTAGGCAACACCATCACCATCCTGCCCACCAAGACCAAGCCCAAGAAGCTGTTCTTCCTGGGCTCCGATGGCAGGAACTACCCGTATCTTTTTAAAGGTAGGAAAGCAGATCGGATTAGTGTGGGCGGGGTTAAAATTCAAATGTTGGTCACACGTTATCGCGCCCCTCAGAGATGGGATTTTCAAATAGAAAGTGGCATTATATGATTAAAAACAGCATCTTGGTATTCAATCTTGTCAATGGGGAGATATTATTTTAAAGCTGAATGTATTATTTTATATTTACCTATAAAATTTGGTGGTTCGGGTTTTAGATTTCCAATTTAAGCTCCACCAGCGCGTCGGTGTCACTGTTTTTAGCTGCTTGCTTCGGCTTTAGTGTCCTTTTTTTCTGGTCGACACCATGCCACAGTGACTGTAAACTGTTTCCAGGTCTGGAGGATTTGCATCTGGATGAGCGCATCATGCAGTTCTTGACCATCGTCAACACCATGTTTACCAAGATCAACCAGCAGGAGCAGCCGCGCTTCCACGCCCGCCACTACTCGGTCACGCCCCTGGGCACGCGCTCGGGCCTGATCCAGTGGGTGGACGGCGCCACCCCCCTGTTCGGCCTCTACAAGCGCTGGCAGCAGAGGGAGGCGGTGCTGCAGGCCCAGAAAGTAGGTCTGACGCCTCGGGGTAGACCAGCGGCATCCAATGCAAAGTCTGGAGAGGGGGAATCTGGGCCCTTCCTTAGCCGTTGCGTACATTTGTCATTTTCGTGTCATTGCTTCAACCCGCCAGAATCAGGACTCGTACCCGCAGCAGCCCGTGCCCCCGGTGCCCCGCCCCAGCGAGCTGTACTACAGCCGAATCGGGCCGGCTCTGAAGGCAGTGGGGCTGAGTCTGGACGTGACCAGGCGAGACTGGCCGCTCGGCGTCATGAAGGAGGTGCTCAAAGAGCTGATGGAGGCCACGCCCTCCAACTTGCTCGCCAAAGAGCTCTGGTGCTCGTGCACAACACCCAGCGAGTGGTGGAGAGTCACACAGGTAAAATTTGGATTTCCTTCCAGGACTCTTAAACCTAAAAGCCCATTTTTGCCACTCTTATAATAATAAAAAAAAAAGACTTGAATTTCATAATTGAGATGCAAGTTGTTTATTAGTTTTTAATCGGGGTGGCTAAAACGGCTTTAGATGTCCAGAACTGGATAAACGCCATGTATCTGTGCCGCAGTCCTACGCCAGGTCCACCGCCGTCATGTCCATGGTGGGATACATCATCGGCCTGGGCGACCGCCACCTGGACAACGTGCTGATCGACATGACCACCGGCGAGGTGGTGCACATCGACTACAACGTGTGCTTTGAGAAAGGTCAGCTCGGGCGGCTCTAGGGCCGGTTCAAAGGACGCCTCGGTCCGTCGGTGGTAGGGTAATGACAAACGGCTGTGGGTTAATGTGTTTTTTTATCTAGGGAAGAGCCTGCGCGTGCCAGAGAAGGTTCCATTCAGGATGACCCACAACATTGAGACGGCTTTGGGAGTCACTGGAGTGGAAGGTATCTTCAGGCTGTCCTGTGAACAGGTTACTACTCGTTTATTTACATTCTACTACCATCTGGTTTGAAAAAACCCCAGCATCCCTAGTAAGAAGGTTTGCCCTGTTGCAAATGGCCACCGACCTTCCTAAAGAAAACTCTGGCCCGTGCCTCTTTCCAGGTCGTTCAAATAATGCGCCGGGGCCGAGAGACCCTGCTCACCCTACTGGAGGCCTTCGTTTACGACCCCCTGGTGGACTGGACTGCCGGAGGGGAGGTGGGCTTTGCCGGCGCCGTGTACGGAGGCGGCGGCCAACAGGCTGACAACAAGAAGAGCAAGAGGGAGATGGAGAGGGACATCACGCGCTCCCTGTTCTCCTCCAGGGTGGCCGAGATCAAGGTGGGCCCTCAGCAGGGAGCACTGCCGTGTTTTAGCCTTCGTTTGTAGCCTGCCGTTAATCTATGAACTATTTTTCATCAAAAATAGATCTCCTCAAAAGTCTGTGTACACACACATATATATATATATATATATATGAAAAAATAGGAGGAAAGCTTGAATAATGCCAGGATGTAAAGTTAGGCAAAACATGTATCACAATTTTTCTTTGGGATTCTGTCACAATTCTTACTTTTTATTTTATTTATATTTTATAATATGAAGGGGTATGTGGTGGGTAATGGATTAGCCTTTTTAAATGGGGCTTTCGGCAGTCATAGGATCACATGATGCACATTAAAGCGCGGATGTCGCAGCAGCAGACGGCTCAAGGTGCTGTGTGGGTTTGCCTTCAGGTGAACTGGTTCAAGAACCGCGACGAAATGCTGGCCGTGCTGCCCCAAATGGAAGAGGCCGTGGAGGAGTATTTGGTCCTGCAGGAGCTGCTTTGCCAGGGGGAGAAACTCCAAGCCCAGCTGCAGGAGGAGGTGGCTTTCCTGGAGGGGGCAGAGAATCGCCCAGATCACGTCATCGTCACGCTGGAGCAAAGGTCAGGAGACGGCCACGGCCACCGTTGCCAGACAAGTGGAGCCCTATGTACCAAACCTTCCTCTCAGGTTTAACATTCATGTGCCACGTACAGATACTCTGAGCACACGCAGCTGCAGTCGCAGCAGAGGACCGTGCAGGAGGCCATTCGCGGCAAGCTGGCCGATCTGGACCAGTGGATCTCCCAGTACCAGGCAGCATTCTCCAGCCTGGAGGCCACGCAGCTGGCCAGCCTGCTGCAGGACATAAGCAGCCCCATAGATCTGGGTAAGTCCTCCTTAAGTGATCGCAGACGCAGGGAAGAGCTCAGCGCAGCATGTGGAGTGGAAAAGGCTAAAGGCCAACAGACATAGTACAACATTCATAGTATGATCATTCCACACTGATGAGCTACGCCCTCCTGAATAGAAATGGGTTTAGTGTCCTGGTTGGCATCTACTTTCTACTTACTTTTCCATATATGCATAAATGTATATATAAACCTGGGCTGGAAAGTCCTATTCGACTCGTCCATTTATTGGTCTATGCATTCTGGGTCGACAAGAGTTCTGATTGGTCAACCAGTTTGCCTGTTAGTTTCACCCAGTCTGGTTAAATCCACCAGGAGGACAGTACCAAGTTCTAACGGGGGTGTTCAGAGCAGCCCTGTTTCACAGGTAGCAGTGGTCTTCAGATAACACCCCCCTGTTTTTACTATTTTGGTTCAGCCCACCTCACTAGAGACATGTCCAAAGGTTTGCTGAATGTTTATTTTTATTTAGAGTGTTTAAGTTACAGAGAGCCCTCCTATCCACTGTAACTCATCTCAATTTGTTCTCAAAAAACAAACTTTCATGGTCCCCTTTCATTATTGTGCACATTTATTTCTATTTATTGGATTTGGGCAGTTTTTTTGCGTAATGCTGTTTAATTTGATTTATGCTGTTTGTAGGCTATTGTGTTGAGCCTATTCTTTATATTTCAGGAATGCACAGCTTAATTTAGTTTGCACTTGTTTAATAAAGATTTTGTTTAATTGTCTTCTTTTGCTTGTAGTCGAAATTCCAGTTTACAGTCGACCAAGAATTTCTTTGGTTGATTACAGCCCTAATGAAGCGCCCTTTGTCCATTTCCAGGTCCTCCAAGCTACGTACCAGCCACTGCCTTCCTGCAGAATGCGGGTCAGGCCCACCTGATCAGCCAGTGCGAGAACCTGGAGGCGGAGATGAGCTCCCTGCTGCAGCAGCGCCGCGCCGCTCTGCGCGGCTGCCTGGAGCAGCTGCACAGCTACGCCACCGTGGCCCTGCTATACCCCAGGGCCACCCTGATGTTCCACAGAGTTCACCAGTGGAAGACCTGGTTGGAGGAACTGCTGCGGGACATGACGGTGGAGAACTGCCAGCACATCTACAGACGGTACACAGCCAGACAGGCTTTGTTTTCACATGAATGCCTGAAGCCTTTTCTAAAAAGGGTGTTTGTTGGCTTTTTGTTGGCTTATTGATTCCATGTCATAGGGTGACCATTTTATCACTGACTTTTTGTGAACCAAAAGGTGTTTCAGTGACAGCAAACCTTATATTAACAGTTTTAGGACTACTTTTTAAACATGGTGCTTCTTCTATAAATCCATCCCCAGAACTGATGTCACCTCTCCTTTGTTCTTTTCCTTCTGATGCTACCTTAACACCTAACTCTACTCTTAGACTTTGTGTTTGCTAGCAATAGACAGAAAAATGCACAAATTGCACTCTGATACATGGTTTTGACATATTTAGTGAGTTTCTACATTAAACCAGCTGGAAAATATCCAAGGCTGTTTACAGTCTCATGGCATTAAGCAAGTGATTGGCCAGATGAGGTTGGGTTGTTATTTTAAACTTTTTATGTCATTATTTGACTTAAACCTGTTGTCAATTTCATGTGCTTTTATTGTGGAAAACTGGCTGCTCTGGTGCCATTTATATTTAATTCTGTTTGCGTCTTCTTCTACAACCAAAAACCAGTAGAGCTCATCAAAGAACTTTTCTGTTCTCCCAGATTTGACTCTGAAATCAGGTTTTTCCCTTTGCCAAGGGAAACCCTGAGCTCTCCCACACCTCCTTATACCATTACTGAGGTTTGTGTCCCCCCCCCCTCCACAGATACGAAGTCCTGTTCACCCCCCAGCCCCCCGCGGCCTCCTGCCAGTTCCTGTCCAGCGTGGAGTTGACTCTGCAGCACCAGGTGGCTGAGGCAAACGAGCGCACGCTGCACCAGGCGGAGCGGCTGAAGGCCGAGGGCACCACGGCGGCGGCCTGTGAGGAGCAGCTGCAGGAGATCGAGCGCTGCATCACAGTCTTCCTCAGGGAGAACGCCGAAGCGGGATCCCTGAGCCTGGCGGCCATCATCACCTCTGCCCTCTGCACGCTCTGCAGGTGGGGCCTCCCGTCTGCCCGCTCAGCTTTAGACAAACCTTAGACAAACGGCTGCGTTTGTGAACAGTGGTTTTTTTGTTGTGTTTGTGTATTTATTTCTTGCTTTTCCTCCCTCCCAGACGCAACCTGGTGATGGAGGCGGCAGCCGCCAGCGCAGGGGAGCAGCTGGTGGACCTGACGTCTCGAGACGGGGCCTGGTTTTTGGAGGAGCTCTGCAGCATGCTGGGAAACGTCAGCGCTCTGGCCACTCTGCAGCAGCGCTGCCCTCTCCTGCCTCATGACCTGGACCTCCCTGCCCCCTCAGCTACCACTCAGGCCATATATTTGGCCAATGCTGTGTACACCTGCTTGCAGGTAGACGTACCCCAAAAATCTCACTATTATTTATTTATTTCCACTCACTTCTCTAAATCTTTACTAAACTTTCCTTTCCAACCCTTTTTCTCCAGGAGCTGAACACCAACTTCCGGCAGATCATCTTTCCCGAGGCTCTTCGGTGCATGATTAAAGGAGAGCCCACTCTGGAATCCATGTTGGCGGAGCTGGAGCAGCTAGTGGAGCACAGCTCCGACGGCCTCGGCCTGCAAGGCTTGGTCGACGGTCTGCAAGCCGCCGCAGGACTGGACCACGACGGGCACAGCCACTGCCTTCACATCACCAGGTTTTTAACGATTCTTTTAATACATGAAACCTGCGTGCTGTGGCTTTAGAAAATCGTAACTTTTTGTTGGGGTTTCTTTTCCCTGTCAGGATGCTGCGGGCCCAGTACTCTGAGCTGATCCAGCCCCGCAGTATGGACGCCCAGAGCCAGGAGACACCCAAAATGTCAGCTGGGCAGATGCTACTAGTTGCATTTGATGGGATGTTCACCCAACTGGAGACTGCCTTTGGGCAACTTACAGAAAAGGTAGCATCATGTATTTCTTTCAGATGCCAGTAATTGGTTATCAATCACAACAAAAACATTTTTAGGCATTTTAAATTTGGCAGCAAATGGGACAAACTTCTCCAAATACCAATTTTCCATTTCTGCTTTTTAATTTATTTTTAGTATTTTAGTAAATCAGCAATGCTGCTTTACTCACTTTGCTCTGCTTTCCAACTCTTCCAGCTGAGCACGTTGGAGGTGCCATCGGCCTGGAGGAAGGTGGACCTCCTTAGGGAGGCTCGAGTCACGCAGCTGAACTTCTTTGGCAACCCGAGTCAGCGTCAGCTCATGGAGGAGGTGTTCTTCCTCAAGAGACTCCAGACCATCAGGGATTTCTTCAGACTGTGCTCCTCTTTTGCACAGACTCTGTCTGGTAAGAGTCCAGAGGCTCCTCCACCGTTACCAACCCCTACACGCCTTGCCACGGCCCTGTTTAGGTGGTTTTCCTTTACCAATGAGGTCCTGCCAGAAAGACAGGCAATGAGGGACATAGCCACAACAATAAATAAGCTAAACCTCGATGATCACAGAAATAATTGTATAAGATTTTTGTTGTTTCCATATTTAAAAATATGTGGGATTCTCGTGAAAGAGTCGCTTTTGTGACTCATCCAAATATGTGGCTCCTCGGCCAATCAGCAACCGGCAGTCTGTTTTAATTCCAACTCATTTGCTTGCAACCCCTAGCAGAGCAGGCCCCTAAAATCAGAGTAGAGTCAAGATGAACTGTGCTGAGTAGTTTCTAATGTAAAAGACCTATAAAAAAGCAGTTTTAGGGGTTTGCAGAATCCAGAACTAAACTGGCTTAGATTTCAACTTTCTCAGCTCTCCCTGCTTATAGAGATGATGACTTTTCATACATTCAGACCGAACCACCCTGCACTAGCGTGTTGTATCATCTCAGGTGTGTGACACGGTGTGTGGTAAACGTCCTCAGGTACTTGTCCCCCAGCCGAGGACTTGCTGCCTGCCAATGGGCCGGTGGGCTTGGGGAAGCCGCTGTACCGCCGGCCCAGCGCCAGCGGCCCGGGCGCGGCCGTGATCAGCGAGGAGCAGATGACCCGGCCCATCAAGGCTTTCACGGCCGAGTTTGTGCGGCAGATGCTGATGGGCCTGCCCAGCCAAGCCCTCGGCCTGGCCCTCTGCAGCACCCTGTCGGCCCTCGGCCTGGACGTCGTGGCCCAGGTGGAAGCCAAAGACTTTGGGGCGGAAAGCAAGGTGAGGAATGTGCATGCGAGTCTTGTATCTCTCTCTCTTTTTTTTTTTTTAATGGTAGCGTCATAATGTTAACCATCATACCAGGTTAGCGTCTATCTGTCCATATGCGGTCAGTTCTCTAAAGCAAGTGGTTCTGCAGGTCCCTCTGGACGAGCTCTGTAAGAAAGCAATGGAGCAGAGCTTGGCCTCGGGCCGGGTCTCCCAGCTGCTGCTGAACCGAGCCACGGTGCTGGCCTCCTCCTACGACGCAGCCTGGAAGAAGGTGGATCTGCTGAGGAGGCTGGACATCAACCTGGATGCGGCCAAGGCTAGTCTGCAGAGGAGCCAGCTGCACATCGCCATGTTCCAGGTAGCCACGGACGTGTGTCTGCGTCTGCGGGGGGGACAGAATGTGTTCTGATCGGTCATACACAAAACAAAATCACTAATATCACTGCTACCTTAAAGTATTTTTTCTTTGACTCATTTTGATATCTTGGTCATGGATGACCAGTATTGGTTTAGTTCATCCCCAAACAATATAAGTGTAAGTTTAAGTTATAGACCTATTTTAGCATAATGGTGTAATGTAGTGTTTTTAGGCAGTACTGATCCAAACAGGAAAGTCTGAACCACCCCGGATGTCCCTGCCATGCTCCTCGGGGTGTAACATTATTAACATTATGTGTGTGTTAACGTGTGCTTACTTCCAGTGGCAGCACGAGGACGTTATCGGCCCCAGTAATCAGCCGCTAAGTGTCAGCGTGCCTCCACGCTCTGTGATCCTCAGCAACATGAAGAAGAAAGTGTACAAGCTGAGTCAGGACGAGGGACCTATTGTTGCTATTCAGGTCGGTCACACCCCAGTGATTGAATCCCTTTTTTTTAATAATGCCTCTGTGGACTTTTTAAGCACCTTTGGCCCCAGTATTGACTAATGGATTCCTGCCATGGCACAGATCACAGCTTATCTTGTTAAATGTTACCTCAAATTAACTGTACAATAAGGTTCGTCCTAAGCTTTAATTGCTATTCTGTGCTGTATGGCTCCTGCTAATGTGCAGGAGAAGCTAGCGTCTCTGGAGGCTAGCATCGAGCAGCGTCTGAAGTGGGCCGGGGGCGCCAACCCAGCACTGGCGCCGGTCCTGCAGGACTTTGAGATGACCATCAGAGAGAGACGCTCCACGGTGGCTCGAGACAACCAGCGCACCAACCAGGTAACGCCACCGCCTCCATCATACCCGGTCGACTCCTCCAAAGCCCCAGCGACTCATTTCCCCAACCGCTCGCCCATGCTTTCCAGGTCACCTTCTTGTGCTCCACCATCCTTAATTTCGAGAGCCTTCGCACCCGTTCTCCCGAGGCTCTGAGCATGGACGCAGCACTGTTTGAGCTGCTGAAGCGCTGCCAGCAGACCTGCTCCTACGCCGCCCAGTTCAGCAGCACCGTGTCCCCGCTGGAGCTCCAGCTCCTGCATCGACTGGTGGGTTTAAGTTCCTCATTCCAACACACTAGATTTTCCAGGCTTTTTTTTTTTCTTCTTCATATACGTAATAGGTCACAAACCATTGGTATGTTTGTTTGTTTTTGCACCATGTCTAATAATGGGCTGTTTTTTCTTTTGTTTGCAGGGGCCGCTGCCAGACCTGCCGATCGGCAGTCCCGAGTGGCTGAGCTGTGCCCAGAGGCAGCTGGAGGAAGAGCTGAGCGTGGAGCGGCGGGCGCAGGAGGAGCGGGAGCAGCAGCTGGAGTCCTGCGGAGAGACGCTGCAGCTGCTGGTCGACTCCATCAAAACCATTCTGTCCAACCACAACCGCCAGCTGGCCGACGTCAAGCACCTCCTGAGAGCCATGGCCAAGGTACACAGCATGTTACGCATGCCGAAAAGAGGCTCTCCCTTCTGTGAACCAAAGAAATTCAGGTTCACAGAGCTCTGGGTCACCTTCCTCTCCCCGATCAACAGCAAAGTCGCTACAGTTCATGAATTCTGACCGGCTGCTGAGCCAGTAATACATAATAACCTCCTGAGAGCCAGCATTTCTGCCTCTCTGTTCTTTGACCTTTGACCTCTTGGCCTCATAGCAGACGCTATCAGAAACTACTGTTTAAAATCTAAAGCAAAATGCTTTTAGACATTTTCCACCAATCATGTTCTTATTGTGGAATTGAAATGTTGTAAATAAGTAATTTGGACCCTCAGAACCAAATTGAATGAAATGTCTAAAGAAACATTTTAAATCTAAAGATAAACCCACTGAGCCTCTATGAAGAAAAACTACCTGAACCAGGACAAAGTCTAGTTATTAAACTTATCAGCTCCTCCTGATCCAGAGATCTGGAACAGAGCAGAAACCAGATTATTCAAAACGTCCTCTAAAAAGAGTAAAAGGCGTAGTGTGGATCGCAGTCTGGGTCTCGTGTTTTTCTCACTGTGGGCTCTGTGGCGCAGGACGAGGAGGCGGCGCTGGCGGACGGGGAGGAGATGGCCTACGAGGGCAGCGTGCGCCACTTCCTGCAGGAGTACAAAGCCTGGCAGGACAACATCCAGCTGGTGCTGTTCACCGTGGTCCAGGCCAGCGGGCAGCACCGCAGCCAGGAGCAGCTGGACCTGCTGGAGGAGATCCCCGCCACCCTGAAGGAGCTGCTCTCCCAGAGCCAGAGGTGGGCCCCAGCTTTCCTCCCTCTCATCCACCCCCCCCCAGAGAACCTTCCGCTGATGTGTGAATGTTCCTTCCCAGCGTCTACAATGGTCTAGTGGGCTTTGCCTCCCCGCTTGTGACCGACAGAGACAGCGAGTGCGTCAGTCCTGTTTCCTCAGCTCAGACCAGCTTTGCAGCAGGTAAAATCCTCAGTTTTGGAGGGGGGGCCGGTTCATCCTGTTCATCTCACGTAATGCTACGTCTGCTTTGCGTCCAGCTGTCAGATGTAGCGGAGTGAAGACCCAGCCAGACTCCATGTCTCAAAATGCTCGCAAAGCCCTGCCTCGCAACCTGGGAACCCCCACGGACACCCCTCCCAGCACTCTACTGACCAACAGCAAGGGTCTAAACCCCAGTCCCAAGAGGGCCGTACGGGACCCCAAAACAGGACGAGGTACGTGTCTGACAGCATCTATACCGTCTGCCTCTCGCTGGACGCTCCCGAGCGTAACGTGGGTCTCGTTTTGCAGCCGTCCAAGAGAGGAACTCGTACGCGGTCAGCGTGTGGAAGAGAGTGAAAGCCAAGCTGGAGGGCCGAGACATCGATCCCAACAGGAGGATGAGTGTCACAGAGCAGGTAACCAGCAGCAGCCACCGGCTGGCCAAAAATAATGTAAAAGCAAACAGGGTTTTTTATTTTTAACTCTTTTTCGATCTGATAATTGGGAGGTTTGGTTTGAAAAACAAATTAAAGATAACACACAGATTCCCTAGAATCCATTATAAAGAGAAAATAAACCATAAATAAGTCATACTGGACTATAAGTGGCGTGGACATACAGGTATGTTGACATGAAGAGTTCAGATGATAATATTGTGACGGCAAAAGAAAGAAATGGCGCCGCCTTGAGCTGAGAAGAATTGTTTGACAGGAACTCGTACACGACTGTGGTTCTGAAACAGATGTCATTACCCGCCACAGCCGGGTCACTCTGGGTGGGCGAGGTGAGGAATACCCATCCAACGTTCTGCTCTCTGATTGGCTGTGACCTGAACGGCGGCCGCCATACTACAGTTCCCAAGATGCATTGCGTCTCTGTTTTCAGGGGCCATTTCAAAATTGTACAGGGATTCCGTCACGTAAAATAGTTTTATTGTGGTAAATTAATTGAGAATCTAGTGGTATATTTTTCGTTTATAAGTGGCTCTGGAGTATAAGTCACACCCTCCGCCATAACAAGTTAAATTTATAGTCCCAAAATACGGTAACACCAGTAATCCCAAAGGGGCAGTGGGCTTGGTTTTGGGTACCCACCCAACCGGTCAAAATGTTTGAGTCTTTTCTTTTAGCTTCTAGTCTTTTGAATTAAAAGCTTGAGTTGTGAGTGGATGTGAACCGCTGTGTCCCGTTTCCCCCCTCCAGGTTGACTTTGTCATCAAAGAGGCCACCAACATGGACAACCTGGCCCAGCTGTACGAGGGCTGGACCGCCTGGGTGTGAGTGCACACGGCTTCACGTCTTTGGTCCAGCAGGAAGGCTTGGAGATCCGCCAGAGTCCAGCAGGACTCGGGGTGTCGGCACAGCAGCACCGGGCCACCCGCAAGGGGGAGGAAAGGGGACGCGGACGCTTGGTCCGCCCTCCCCAACTCCTGGGGCATGCAAACTGGGGGCAGCACACCTCGTAGCATCGCTGCAACCACACCACCACCCCCCCCCCAAAAACCCCACCGGCGACCTTAGTGGGCCTGCAGACCCGCCCTCCTTTTCAGGGGGTTTGAGCGGGTAAAGAGGCTGCCGGAAGGGGGGGGAGCGAGGGGGGGGGGGACGGGGAGGAGGGGAAAAGGGCCTCCTCTACCCTCGACTTGGAAACGCCTCCCCCCGCCTCACCCGCATAGCTCACTATCAAGTTGTTCCCCATTAAACATCAGCGCATCCCGTCAGGCCCCCGTTCAAAGCCCAGCCGGGCGGGGGGGGGGCGGCCGCCAGCCGACTCCCCCGGGGGCCCCCGGACACACCCCTCTGGGGCCAACCTTTACCCCGGGGTTCAGACCGGGACAAACGGACGGGGGGAGGGAGGGGGCCACACTTGTTTTTTTTTTCCTCTAATCTTTCTCTCGACGGCATCGCAAACCCCCCCCCCATTGGTTGGATGCGAACGATTTAAAAAAACACAAACCCAGAAAAAGGGGGGACTCCTGAGGCCGGAGCGTCCTGGAATCAGAGCTGGGAAACGAGTGGGACCGCTAGCCAGTCTAGAGCCCACCGCCTGTCACAGCAGAAAGAATAAAAGATTAGTGGAGTTGTTCTCAGGACTGTTCCCTGTGATTTTTGTGAATAAAGCTGAGACGTCCTGTGGTGGGAACCAGTCGGAGTCACCTGGAGAAGGAGCTCTAGTTGCTACTTTTTCTTTTTACTGTGGATCTTTAGTCTGGTATTGTGCTTTGGAACTATCTGTAGAGGTAGATTTCTTCCTTTCTCTCTCTTTTTTTGTCTCTTTTCCCTTTGACCTGCCTGCCAGAAGCTGTTGCTTGCATTATAATCCACTCACCCAAGCCCTAAAGCTTACATTTTTATGAATATCGACCTTCTAGTTTTACGTTTTTATTCGGAGAAAAAAAAAAATTATGTTTGTGGTGACGGTGACGTGTGTTGATTCTTAACGCTTTTATTGAATTTTGTTGGATGCCAAATAAACGTGGAATTGAAGAGATTAAACAGTTTTTTTATTGAATCCCGTCTTGTGTCCCGTTTCCACATCTGGTCGGCAAATGTTGACACTGCCATAAACGACAAGACTTTGATTAACGGTCCAGACCATTAGAGCCAGTTGAGGACGAGGCCTGTTGACAAAAAAAAACAAAAGAAATGGCAAAAAACTGCTTTATTGCTAATTTAATCCTCAACATCTGTATGTTGCCAGTTCTCTAAATCTGTCCATTTTTAGAAATGGGGTTTTATAACAAGGGGTCAAAGTGTCTGACCAGTGTTTTTATGTCTCGACATGGAGGAGAAGATCCAAAGGCACACAGGATATTGAGTTTCATTTAATCAGGAGTCCGAACCAGCCGCTTTATCTTGTGTAAACGGAGCAGGAACCCCTGCAGGAGTCCCCACCAGGGGCCGGCGGCTGTTAATGATTACACGGAGGTTGTTAAAACCGGCTCGGTTTCCCAGACCCGCCGACTTCCCAGCTCTGCCCCGCCGGACGGCCATGCCAGCCCCGCGGGTGTGCGTGGACGACTTCGAGAGGGAGGCCAGCGCCGTGCTCCCCAAAGCCGTGTACGACTACTACCGCTCGGGGGCCGACGGCCAGAGCACCCTGGCCGACAACGTGGCCGCCTACGACAGGTACGCCCCCCCCCCCCCCCCCACACACACACACACACAGATCTGCAGGTCAACCTCATCTGCTGGACCCAGAGGTTCAGCGTCAGGGGCAAAGTTTAACTAAAACATCAGCTAGTTTCAGATTTGGGCCTCCAGGCTGCTGCACAGTTTGTGTTAGAGGCCTCTTAACAGAGAGGTGGACGGGGAGAAATTCTTTGTTTTTTTGTAATATATTGTATAATTTTACTTGGAACTAGCTCTAGGCAATAACTATTCCCTTTCAAACTTATGAAACATTAAACTTTTTAGGTTTTACCACCTGTAAAAAGTGTGAAACTGTTTTTAACGAGCCATAAAGGAAAGTTTCTACTGTTCATCTCCATCTGTGGATTTGCAGGATGGTCCATTTACCTCAACTGTACTCATTTTTTTTTTTGCTTTGAAGTGCCTTGACATGAGAGTTAAATCAAAGAAAAGAAAAAAAAAGCTCCTAAGCGAACTTAAGAAAGACTTTAAACAGATTTTGAACACTACTGAGGAGGCAGAGGCCAGCCGGCAGTTTTCAGGCCTGAGTCCGACTGGAAGCTTTGAATGTGAGCGCGCGGCCCCCGTCTGACCGTTTGGGCGTGCTGGACGTGTCCGCAGGTGGAGTCTGATTCCCCGGGTGCTGAGGGACGTGTCCACGGTGGACATGTCCGTGTCCGTGCTGGGCCAGGAGCTGAGCATGCCCATCTGTGTGGCGGCCACCGCAATGCAGAGGATGGCTCATCCTGCCGGGGAGACGGCCACGGCAAGAGGTTACACACACACACACACACACACACACTCTGCCCTGAGCACCGTGGGAAGCACACAGGCCGATAACCTCATCTTTTGAAAGCAGAAAACCATCAGAAGACATGTTTTTTTTTAAGTAACATGGGTAAATCGTGGGGGATTTGGCAGGATCTTCAAAATGAGAAAGACTGGTCCCGTTATGTGCCTTCCCAGCATGCAAAGCGGCGGGGACGGGGATGATGCTGAGCTCCTGGGCCACCTCCACCATAGAGGAGGTGATGTCGGCCATGACGCTGTCCCCGGGCCGGGGGGGGGTCCTCTGGCTGCAGCTCTACATCTACAAAGACCGGGAGCTCACGCTGGCGCTGGTGCGGCGGGCCGAGCAGGCGGGCTACAGGGCCGTCTTCGTCACCGTGGACACGCCCTACCTGGGCAGGAGGCTGGACGACGTGCGCAACCGCTTTAAAATGCCCCCACACCTGAGGTGCCCCCCCCCAAAACCCAACACGGCCATCAGCACGTTTCACCGGAAAGACGACAGGTCTTCAGAGGACTTCTCCACCATCTTTACCGTGTGTGTGTGTGTGTGTGTGTGTGCGTGTGACCCCCCCCCAGCATGTCCAACTTCTCCACGGCCTCCCTGGCCTTCTCTGAGGACGACTACGGCAGCGACAGCGGGCTGGCCGTCTACGTGGCCAACGCCATCGACCCCGCCCTCAGCTGGGACGACATCACCTGGCTGAGGAAGCACACCAGCCTGCCTCTGGTTGTTAAGGGCGTGCTGAGCGGTACACACACACACACACACACACACACACACACACACAGCAAAGATAAAACCTACAGCCTGGCAAGCAAAGGGTAATTTTGGGATATCAGTATACTTTCAGGGGTTTACAAATCCATCCGAGAAACAAGTCTGAGACATGCTTGTAGATTAGCTCCCGTTTCTTAGATCACATGACCAGGTGGGGGTCAGGGGTCAGGGACAGGACGCAGATGCAGGAATCGCTTTCTTTATTAATTAGTTCTCCACAGACGAGAAAATCAACGGCCTGTGAAAAGTTATGATTCAGGAAAAGGCGCTCTACAGCGAGAGGTAACAAGGCTATGGAATTATTTACAAAGAAATCAAGAAATGGCTCCAGAAGTGGAGGAGGTCTTAACTATGAAACGTTACAACACACTCTCAGGGAGCAAACTAGATCAACACAAGACTGGGACTTACAAGAGGAGGCCAAGAAAAGCTAGAAGTGGTCTGACATTCAAAAAGAGTCACAATTTCAAAATAAAACAGGAAGTGACAAGACCAAGACATGACCAAAGCAAACCAAAACCCCCCAGGAGTGACATTAGGCAAATAAGTAAGTAAACGGGCCTTTCAGGGACCTGCCTCTGTAAAGCTGCCTGTGAATGTCTGCATTTAGAAAGAGTAAAATGAAGCCCCAGTGGGGGGTTTTTAGCGGCGCGTGCTGATTGGCTGATGTGCTCATGCGTCAGGGGAAGATGCCGTCCAGGCGGTGAACCACGGCGTGAGCGGTATCCTGGTGTCCAATCACGGAGCTCGGCAACTGGATGGAGTTCCTGCCACGGTTTGTGTGTGTGTGTGTGTGTGTGTGTGTGTGCGTGTGCTGCTTCCATAAAAGAAAAGAAACAGAAATGTTTTAAACTTCTAAGTTGGTGCAAAAACAAAAGAAAAGCTCAGAAAAGTTAAGGCACCAACTGCATTACTTTAATCAAATTAGTAAGTTCCCTGACACAGATCTGATTGGAGATTTTTGGCGCACGGGCGGGGATTTTTAAAAAAATTATTCATGTTTAAATCCACTGCAGTGAATCCATCAGATTCCTCATAGGCATAACAATCCCAGACCATGATGCTTCCACCACAATGACGAACGGTTGGAACAATTCTGTTGGATTTCAATAAAAAAATAAAAAAATAAAACTTCACTTCCCTCTTAAAAGGCTTTCCGTTTAAATGATTCTGTTGAGTTTGAAACATGACAGCAGCGATCTGAAACAGCCTGTAGACAAAAACTTCCACCTCATGGCCACTGAAAACAGTTTTTCTTTTCATTTAGGCTCTTGGTTTGAGAGATCTTCCAGTTTGCTTTTTCATCTTTTAATGTTTGATGTTGTTTATGGTCATTTAAACAATTTCTTCACAGAAGATGTGTTTAGATGTTTCACCTGCTTTTGATGCATATCCCTGTATTTAATGCATTTTTAGAAATAACACTGTTGTGTTAAAAGTGCTCCATAAAGAACAATGTTATTGTGCATGCAAGTATTTAAACTGGTGACGGTGGTGGAGTCTAGAAATGTCTAGAAATGGGCCCAGACGATAATCCTGACTAGTGTAAGTCTATGATTACTTTACTGACATCTTCAAGCAGCTCTCTTGACTCCAAACTGCATTGCATGCTAGTAAATGCATTTACAAATACACACTCTTCTTCTCCGATTTAGGTGAAATAGCTCAACCCATAGTCTCCATTAAACTCATCTGTATGATGAGTCCCAGGACTTCTGGAGAAAAAGGATCAGAAACGCTGCTGCTTCTCTGGACTTCTGTAGACAAACTGTCAAGAAAAACTGTTTTATGTTCTGCTGAACAAAAGAGCAATTTTGAATCCGAAAAAAAATTTGAAGCCCCAAAATAAGTTTGGAAAAATATATATTTGAACCCCCCCCCTAATAAAAGGTTTGTTGGAAAAAAAAAAGTTAATGAAAAAAAGTTAATGAAGAAATTCATTTGTTTTGGGTAAAAATAAATAAATTCCATGTTAACATTTTTTTCCTTTCTGTAAAAAATTTTTTTTCTTGAACAAACTTTATGGCCCCAATTTATGTGCATACTGGAGGTTAAAACTCTTTAAACTATCTTTTTTTTTTTTTTTCGGGTTTAAATTAGTTTCTTTCAAAGAAACCTTTATTTTGGGTTCAAAATGTTTTCTTGGATTCTATTGTTTTCCTTCCTGTTCAAATTTTTTTTCTTAAACAAACTTTATGGCCCCGATTTAGCTCCATACCGGTGGCCAAAACTCTTTAAACTATCGTTCTTTCTTTTTTTCGGGTGCAAATTTGTTTGTTTCGAAGAAACTTTTGGTTTTGGGTAAAAAAATTATAATTCTGGGTTAAACATTTTTTCCTTCCTGTTCAAATGTTTTTTTCTTGAACAAACTTTATGGCCCCAATTTATGTGCATACTGGAGGCCAAAACTCTTTAAACTATCATTCTTTATTTTTTTTCGGGTTTAAATTAGTTTCTTTCAAAGAAACCTTTATTTTGGGTTCAAAATGTTTTCTTGGATTCTATTGTTTTCCTTCCTGTTCAAATTTTTTTTCTTAAACAAACTATTTAGCTCCATACCGGTGGCCAAAACTCTTTAAACTATCGTTTTTTCGGGTTTTGGGTAAAAAAACAGAAATTCTGGGTTTAAATTTTTTTCCTTCCTGTTCAAATGTTTTTTTCTTGAACAAACTTTATGGCCCTGATTTAGCTCAATACTGGAGGCCGAAACTCTTCAGTCTATCGTTGGTATCTTGATCTGTCCGGTTTACTGTGAACCCCCGTGTGTGCAGCTGGACGTGCTGGAGGAGGTGGTGGGGGCGGTGCGCGGCCGCTGCCACGTCTTCCTGGACGGGGGGGTGAGGCGGGGCACCGACGTGCTGAAGGCGCTGGCTCTGGGGGCCAGGGCGGTGTTCGTGGGCCGGCCGGTGCTGTGGGGCCTGGCCTGCCAGGTGGACACGCCGCTCCACAGATCCACAGCTGCCCGATGGGCTTTATCAGAGCCTAAAGAGGAAGATGGACACTGATGACAGCCTCGCTTTTGTCTGCAGGGGGAAGAAGGGGTTGGCGAGCTCCTGGGGCTGTTGAAGGAGGAGCTGCGTCTGGCCATGGCCCTCTCAGGTAACACACACACATCCACACAAACCTTAGGTGATCAGAGGGAACCTGCATCCTTCTCCTTCATGTCCACCACGTTTCCTGTAATCTGGCCTGTAAGAAACTGTATGTGCGGCCTCCAGGGGCTTTTTTGGCAAACTTTATGTACTTTTTCACAGCTCATCTGACATTTCCACTCATATTTTTTTATTCCTCAACAATGCTTTGAACAAGCTTATCAGGGTTTAATATTCTTTTAATTAGTTGATGTTGGACAGCGATCAGAGATATTCAAAATTAAGGATAATTTCCTAGAATCTCCTAGTTTTTCTGAACTACTTGGAGAGACCTGTGGTCTGTAGCATTCTACTTAGTGGTGTTGCACATGTGACACTAAGTATGGAGCCATTTAAAAAAAAAAAAAAAAAAAAAAAAAGTACTTATGAAGGTAACTGACTGCAGTACATGTTCATAAAATGGTTGAAAAGAGATGTGAGCACTGTTCAGTTCAGCCTATGAAACTCTGAAATCGTTTAAGATCACTGTGGTTGTTTTTGTGCGTGTGGTAGGTTGTCGTTCCCTCTCTGAGGTGAGTAGGTCCCTGGTCCGGAGAGTGGACTTCAGCTCCAGGATGTAAAAGAAGAGGACAGGACGACACATACTTGTCGAATCAATAAATGCACACATGCTGTCGTTTTTTGTTTTGTTTTTTTGATTGTGAATTAAATCCGAACACTAGAGATGCGTGTCTGAATACTGTAGATTTTTTCGACCCGTCACTCCATACACACCAACACTGACTCGGTTTTATTTCTATAGAGCCAGAATACAAAGACTGAGTCTAGTATTAGTCAATTAGAACACAAATGGCTGTAATACAAATATAATCCAATCTATTTCAGTTATTTAAATTCCAAAGGCTCATCTGAGAGATCTCTATGTATGAACCTGACATGTATTCAATATCATACTGTGTTACTTAATTATACTTAATGCTGGCACTAATATTAGTGTGTGATCCAGAAGCCTGGTCTCGTGAGTGTTTACATTTTCTTTGCAAGTATGATTAGAAGACCTTTTTTGTACATGATGTTATTGTATGAGAATCGACTAGGATCCAGGCTTTTAATAAACGCATATGAATACACAAATGAGTGATCACAAAACAATCTCAGGTTAGGGAATGATTTGTTATCTTCAAAGTACTTCTGCAGTTATATTTTTTCTAGCCGATTACAATAGTCAGAATTAATCGAAAATTTAACTAATTAAATCAAGACTATTCTATTAAATTCTGACGTATTGTCTTGACTGGACAATCGTTTGGAACAAAAGTAGATATATCTAAATTATGCTTACAGGAAAAAAAGTTAGTTACCCATGCAGATTTTTATTCATGGTTTTCAGAACCAGGAAGGAGACGATCTCTTTGGTTTTGACCATTCATTGCCCACATTTTATCAGACACAAGATTTTTGTCTTGATAAAAAAAATGGTATGGAGAACCTTGGAGTTATTCTAGTCGATTTGTGTTCTACAATGAATATCACTACCTCAGACTGTGACTCAAAGGAGCCAGTGACACCACCAGCAGAGGGCAGCAACACGCACATGCTGCTCCTGGTGGATCTGAATGAGAGAAAAAGAAAGAGAAGCTTATGATCCATTCACGGTCGTGCGAAAATCTGATTTCCGACAAAAAAAAAAGATTAATAGAAGAAAACACCTCGAGAAATTGGGGCTCCCGTATGAATAAGGTTAGACAATGCAAGAAAACTTGTCATATTTTAACTCTATCATTTTATAGGACGTTAATAGGCAGCTTAAGTTGCTTATATTATAAACTATATTTATATATTTGTTTCTGATTTAAAAAAAACGTACGTTTTTAGTCTTTATCCTACAGCGGGTTGAAATTTAGAGCTGCTATCACCCATTTCTTCCTTGTAGCGAACCAAACACGCAAAGCTTATTTTAAAAAAATCTTTTATTAGATACAAACACAAGGGGTAGTCTATATTAAAATAGAAATGACACATTTTTACCGGACCACGAATGCAGCATTAACCCTGTGTATTAACTATCATGTCTGCCTCTTAAATGTAGGTGAGTTAACGTTCCACCTGTTTTTTGTAGGCTTTCAAACGTTTGCTGGAAGTATAGCCATCAGTCCACGTTTAACACGGGTTATCTGCAGCTATGTGCATAAATATTAGTTAAAACGGCTAACTGTTTACCAGTGTTTTGGCCGTGGGGTTGAGCCTAAACTTTTTCTTTTTTTTAATGTGCGCGTGCAAACCTTAAATTGGAAGCTAACTTCGGCGTTGTGCGTAAATGGAAGTTTCCAGACGCAGTTTTGACCGGCCTGACAGCCGACCAGTTTCACACTTCTTTAACTGTTGTGCATTGTAGTTTAAACGAATAACACGTACAAACAAACGATATTAATAAAAACAGGTACACTAATTGGGCTTTTGACCGTTTACAGAGATGTTTGTTAGCCGCTTCTTCGACTGGATCTTCTTAAGAAAGTCTAAATGGCCCCAAGTGGAGTATGTTGGGTTCTTAACTTGGCACCATGTTTATCCTATACTCCTGACCTGAAAATGTGTCCCTTCTATCTGCAATAGACTACTTTAAACTCCCCTGTTTCAGGTCGCAAATGACATATATGACAATATATAGAGATGTTTAGTTAAGATTCGGATCATGACCATTGCAAGTACGACTGCTTTGTTTTCATTATCCAGTATGTGTTTCTAACAGGATTATGTACATTAGAATGAGCTTTGGTGCATTTCATTAGGTTGGTAATTGTTCCAGGGTTGCAAACATTTGGCTTCTAGGTGGTTAACCAACAATATCTTCAGTGTATGGGTGTAAATTACTAAAAGCCAATGTCCCAAGACCCACCAGGGTTTATCTAATCTCATAAAGACTGTACACAGACAGTCAGAAACCCTGAATTAAAATAAAAAAAACAATTCCATTAAAAAGAGTTGTGGAAAAAAGGAATGATTGAATAGCCAATAAAGGGGCTGGTGGTTAATTTTCTGGTCGTTTTACCTAAAGTTCTCTCAGTTTTCTCTGTTTAATGTACATGAGCATCTTGAATTCCCTCTTTGCAGGAGCATAAAAGCTCTTTCTTTTCTCCTATTCCAGCATGGACAGCAATGAGGCCCAGTCTCTGCAGGTTATGAGACACAGATGACTGGCACGTTCAGCTAAATTCATTCATGGATCAGATTGTTTTTCAACATGATACCGTGCTGTCGGATGTCCACATGCACCAAGTGGCTGGACGCCACCTCATGACACGCCTCGACGCTGTCGGAACGCCTGGTCTGTACATATTTCTGCATCTCTTACTTATACTTGATGCTGTTTGGCTGTCAGTTGTGTGTGTGTGTGTGTGTGTATATATATATATATATATATAGATATGTATGTATCTAGAAGAGCCCAAGCTAATATTTATGGAAGATAAAACCACTGAGAGGGGACACAATTTAACTCAGATGTCCTATATATAAGTGTTATGTGTGTAATAGATAAATAAAGTTTGCATCCATTGCACAAATGTGATTCTAAAACCTTTTGCCTTTATTTCCACTCCCTCTCTAATGTAGCTGTCTTGATCTATCCAGTCTTCATGTCCAGATTTAAAATCTTGGCAGAAAGGCATGACGACGGCGACCCCGGGAAAGAATCCGCTGAAAACATCACAGCTTCCGGTGAGGAAAAAAAGAAAGAAGGAAGGGAAAAATGCCTGGAGCCCGCTTTGGATGAGGATGGAGACCTCGAAATCGCACGTCGGTATGGAGGAAAAACTTTGATTGCCTTTTAGAACACTACCTGGCCCCTCTGAAGGTTCTCTAGAGCAGAACCAGAAACTATGTGTATGTCTCAGAGTTACTTGTTAATGTTCCTGGCTTCTGCGGCTGGTCTGGCTTTGTTTTCTTTTCCAAAAATGGCCACCATGCTGCTTCCTGGTAGGTCTAACTTAGAAATAGAGAATAGTGTTGTACCATAAAAGGCCGTATAAGTGTAAATTTGTGTTCCCCATCTCATAGATCTCTCCTATCTCTTTTTTCCATCAAAACAGCTTTTAGAGCAGTAAGAGCACCTCATTGTAGAAACGTAATTAAAAAATCTGAACAAATAAAGCTCCCACCGTAGATTGTTGAGATCACTCAGTTCACAACAAACTCGCTGGTTATTTTGAACTTCTGTTTTTTTTATTATCTGCTGCCATGTTGGACTCAGGGAGCCATAAGTTATCAGATTCTTGCATCCTGATCGTAAACATACATATCTATGCAAAATGTCTGAAAGTATACTCAGAAAGAGTTATTATGGTAAAATGGTGACTTTTGGTGGAACATCAGTGCTGAATTTCCGTTCGGTAAAAGTTTGAATTTGGCTGATGGGTCGCGTATTTCTCTGGACGTGAATCCTCAGACCGCGAACAACCCCAAGGGCCGACAGCGGCCGAGAGCTGATCTGTCCGGTCATTCTCCATCAATCCGGCCCTTTTCTGGAACAAGAAGAGGAGAATTTAGGAGATGAAGATTGCTCTAAAGACATTATAAGGATTGGTAAGAACCTAAGTTTCTTTTAGGATTGTGTCACGCTGTACTGGAGACTAGATGCAAATCAGCAAATGATTATTTTTATCAGCAAATGACAGTAACAGTGTGTTTCTACATCATAGATTGGCAGGTTTTAGTCAGAAGAATGACTGTTGTTTCCAATGAGCATATTAGAAGCAGAAATAGTGATAGAAGTGATAATGATGTTTGGTTTGTGGGATTTCTCTGGTGTGGCAGTGAACTGTTTTATACATCCAACATCCTAAATATCCTGGAAAAACTGAACAACAATGACAGCTCCTCATAAAGAAATGAATAGAATAAGTGGAATGTCTAAAGGTACCAAACACTTCAGGGTACGTGTATCAGACTATGAAACTTTTCATTGCTTCTCCAAAATCTAAATCAGGGGTATCCGATCAGTTTGCACTGCTCAGGGTTTCGCTTCCAAAATATGCTTTTTTTTTTCTTTTTTCTTTTTTTAAATTAATTTTTTAACTGTTCTTCATAATTAGACTATTTGTTTAACTTCGATAATTTATTTATCTATTTTAGTTTTTGGGCCACAGGACATTTTGAATGTCTTTTACTGGGGGATGAAATCCAGTATTTTTCTATTCTTATCTCTGCTTCTGTAAAATTAATTGTGCATTTTGAAGACTGATTTATAGTCTTCAAAAATACCTGAGGCAGTGATAGCCATTGGTTACATTTAACTGCCCCAATGTTGGATATGTTTTATGTTGGATATTTGAAAAAAACAAAAACAGAAGCATATTATCCTTAGCATTAGTTTAAGATGTGAAATTCCCAACGTGAAACAAACGGACATGATTACACATTGGATGGATGAGAAATGTACAGAGTTAAACATTAATGCCAGATGAATTGATGCTGGGTCCAGCCTGTTCTAACAGATAGAACAGATCTAATATAGAGATGTAATCTGTCTGCAGAGCACACAATGGCTACACCCCTGGAGGATGTGGGCAAACAGGTCAGTAAAATAAATCATTAAAATGCCTGAAACGTTACTCCACTGTGCAATGGGAAAAACAATACATCCTGGGAGCTATTATGCAAATGATCCACATTTTAAACTTTAACTTACTGATTTGGGACCATAAACGTCAATTCAGAATTCCCTGTTCCAGTTGAAAAGTAGAATTATCAATTCAGCTTTGTTTTAATAAGGAGAATAAGTGTAAACATCTATGGGTCTCTAATCTTTATATGGTTGGATTTGCTTGTTTTTTTTCCTAAAGTGTCCTCAGGTGTTTTATTTATTTTTTTAAAAACCAACAAAAATCCGCCTCAGCTCTATTCAAATGAACACAGAAAGAGATGTGAAGTTGTGTGTGACGCTAACTGAAGGCTCCTCTCCGTTGGCGTGCACCAGGTGTGGCGGGGCGCGCTCCTCCTGGCCGACTTCATCCTCTCGCACCTGGAGCTGTTCAGAGGGGCCACGGCGCTCGAGCTGGGAGCGGGAACGGGCTTAGCCAGCATCGTCATGGCGACCACAGCCAAAACCGTCTACTGCACAGGTACTGCTCAATCCTCCTGAGGTGGGATTCCAACAAGACTAAGGGAGCGCTGCCGTGCCAGCTCTTTTTTTAATTAATTTTTTTTTACAGGGTTTAAATTCATCAAAAGCTGCTCCTTAGTAGAAGTAAAAAACAGGCAGCGTGTTGGATAACACAAGCTACAAAAACGGATCCGCTTCAGTCAGAAGTGATTTTTGGTTAGATATCTTTATGTTTTTTTATTCTTTTTTTTATTTGTAAAAGACGAGGGTCAAAAGCTGCCAAAAAATGCAAAAACGGGTGTTTCTGGGGCTCGACATTTAAGTTCTGCACAGTCGATGTACAGATCAGAAAAATGCCGTTTGTCTGTTGGAAAGATGAGACGTTTCCCGCTTTTGTTTTGCAGATGTGGGCGACGACCTGCTAAGCTTGTGCAAAAGAAACGTAGCACTGAATAAACACATAACCGAGCCCTCAGGTATGATGCCCCCCCCCCCCCCCCTTCTCTGTCCCACCTCTTAGGTGTATTTAGGAAGCTATATGTAAAGCAAGTGTGTCCAGACATCCAAATGGAGGCTAAAGACGTACTCGTAGGCTACACACACACACACACTTTTAACACATTCAATAAAAAAACAAATATATATTTAAAAAATAAACCTACAATACTCAGACAACAAGCAGAACACCAACTTCCCATTCTGCTGAAAACCGCAAACTCCATTGACTTCTTAAGGCACACTTAGCTGATGAGTATTTACGAACTTTTTATTTCACCATCAGGTGGGGAGGTGAGAGTGAGACAGCTAGACTGGCTCCAGCACAGCCTCAGCACAGGTAAGAAAAGAAGAAAAAGCACCAAACTCCACTTAAATTCAGCTGTTGGTTTGTTTGATGCAGTTCCCTTTGACCCTTTGTCGATTTGAGGTTAGATAATGTCTATTTTTCAACGTGTTGGTGTTTGGTGCTTGAAGAGAAAGCAACATGTGTCCGACCATATGTAAAGCAGCATTTCTGCTTCTCCTTAGATGCTGAAACAGAGTTTAGCTGGACAGAAGACGAAATAGCTGATCTGTATGACAACACTAGCTTCATTTTTGCTGCTGACGGTGAGTTTTCAACTTCAGAGCCCCATGTGGTCTCTGAACTTGTATGTTGGTATGTTGAAACAAAAGAAAAAATCAGTTCTGTTAGGCTTAACAATGTTTTTTAAACATATCACAATTTAATATTTTATTATTATTATAATTATGATCAATCTTGGGCGACTATGGCAGCGCTTTGAATGGTTTTATGAGCCATGTGAAGGTCCATTCAAAATACAAATTAAGATTTGTTGTCGGTTTGGTGTGATTCAGTGTAACATGCACATTTTTACCAAGTAAAAAGTCAAATGTAAGCAAAAATAAAAGAAGGAAATGTACTATAATCTTAAAAACCAACAAATGATCGGCTTTATGATGATACAGTAGATCGCAATAATCTGCATATCACATATGTGTGCCACTTTTTGTACAGATAAGAACCAACTCTCACAGACATTTTGACATATTGTTCTGTGCAAGCAGAATTTAGATTTTCAAAAACCGCTTAAGACATAACAGAAATATTATACCTAAATATATATATATATATAGTCAGGTAAATAATTGTCTAAAACCATAAAACTCATTTGAAAGGACCCAGATATAAAAAGTGATAGTTATTAAAATCACTACAAACGGAACGACACAAAAACTGTGTGAGTAGGAGTTCATCCAGAGACATTTACCGGTAGCTTATTGAAGTTGTAGCCTTATTTTCTTGAAAATAGCCCGAATGCGTCAGGATTCTTTCTGCTTTCTGTTCCTAACAAAACGTTATCGCCAACAACAAGAATACCAAAGAAATTCACTGAACTAACGCCAACTTTATTTTTAAACGTGACTCGTTTTACTCTCTTTTAGTCATGTTTAGATAGATGGACATGAAGCTTTCATTTGTCTGCTTCTCTTTTCAGCTGACAGTGAAAGTTAAACAGATTTATTCTCTTAAATTAAATACATGAATCTTTTCAGCTTGTACACAAAATTGCTGGGTGAGAAATCCCAACATTTCCTTTCCTTATTTGTCAAACAAGTGTCTCCATTGTAAATTAATTTGCTTGCTAGGAAGTCAAGTTCTACATTACCAGAGTCTTTGGGAGACAATAGAAGTATTCTCTTGTACCTTTGTGGATCTGCATTCTGAATTTAACGCAGAATTCTCGGCTTGCAGGTAAATCATTGTGTTGTTTTTCTCTCTTGTGCGTGTGTGTCACTAGTTTGCTATGACGACGACCTGACAGACGGCTTTTTCCGGACACTGTACCGCCTCTGCAGCGGGATCTCCCACACCTGCACCATCTTCATATCCATAGAGAAAAGGTTCGGCCAAATAAATGAGTGACAGGGCCTATATCACCTAAAGGGATTACAGACAACAGTCTCCATATGTTTTAGTCAGTTGTTTTTTAAAAAGCAGTACTTGAGTTCTATCAAGTGAGACAGATTCAGATGAAGCCTTTGATTTATACTATTTTTATACTTATCTATTTATGTCAACTCATGAAAAGGCCTCGTGATCTGGGTCCAATCCTGGACCCGCACCGGGCAGAAGGCAGGGAATAAAGTCCCACGGTTTATTTCAAAATAAAAGCAACAAAAAGCTTGTTAGTGCTGGAAAGATAAACTTAAGGGACCAAAATAATGAAGAGTTATAGGAAAAATGTGGCATTACCACATCTGTGGAATGAAGCTGGCCGTATTATCAGAAACCATGATTATGTCTTTCCCCCGAAACCGCAGGATGAACTTCACCCTGCGCCACATGGACGTGTCCTGCGAGTCCTACATCCATTTCAGCCACTGCCTGTCCCAGCTCCAGGACCTGGGGGGGGGAGGGGGCAGCTTTAGGGTGGAAAAGATCCCCTGTGACTTTGCTCAGTTTCTGCTGTACGAGCGCATCGAGCAGCTGGTGAGAAACACACACACAAACACACACACACAAACACAAACACGTCATTAGTCTGTGACGGAGAGCAGGTTTGTTGCATTTGAATACATAAAAAAATACTGGAATTGACAGTTTCATTAGTCCAGGTGCTCCAGCTTTCTCTCACTGAACAAAATGGACGGATGGAGGGATGATTCTTTTCCCAAAGAAATGCTAAGTGACACATTTGACATAGTAACAACCTAAAAATGATTTGTGCTTCTTATGGTTTATTTTAGGATCCCCATTAGTCTCAAAATTAGTAGGGACTATTCTTCTTGAGCTCCACACCACAACATTGCAATTACATCATTCTTAATGACCTAAAAACAAAAAATTGGAACCAACCACTTTGATATTTTACAAACATTCCAAAGAGATTTCATGAGATACATTGAGATACACACCCTAATTGTCAATAAATTTAATCATTCATAAATAGATTCAAAACTATCACAATCAATTAAAAAGAAACCACTCTACTAATAATTCCTAATTTTCAAAGAAGAAATTTGAAAAGGGCTTCAATTGTTCTGTGCAAATGAGCTCTACTGAGGTTATTTCCTAATGAATGTTATTTCCTTTCTTTTTCCTCAAGCAAAATGTTATGACTTCTTCACTGCTACCTGCTAAAAATGTTAGCCTTACACAGGCGTTTAGAGCACAGTGATAACATTACAATGCACGTGTGAATTTTCCCACCACAGTTAAGTTAAAGGTGCAGTTTCAGACTTTGCCGAGGCCTGACTTGTTCATTTTGCACCTGCAGGAGCTTTGGAAGGTGACCGCCGCTCCACTTCTGTCCGAGCAAGCGTCCGGCTCCGAGCCTCTCCCCTCCTGACCCCGGCTCCCCCCCCCCTTCCACGACCAGAACGTCTCAGGATCCACGCAGATGTGATTCAGCCAGTTTGAGGAAGCCCGCGCGCAAGGGCAGGTCAGAGAGAGAAACACCTGAATGAACCACTAGAGTTCTAATCCAGATGCAGCAAACACGGTACAACAGGGGGGGGCTGACACAGGGGATTAGCCTCAAGCATTTTAAAGACTCGATGGACAGGCAAGTGTTTTTTTAAGTCCTTTGTGGGGGGGAATAAAGAGTTTTTAATGTTTTTGAAGTTAAATATTGACAGAAATCATTGATACCCACTCCTCTGTCCATAATGAACTGTTGATTTTGGGGAGGTGAGATCAGGAAGTGGCCCCTCTCAGTATGTTTGGAACCACAAATCTACCATCCTAATTTGAAAAGCTATAGTTCTGAAATGTGAAAAAAACATACAGATCCGATTGGCTTTACATGAATTAATATTTCAAAATAAATCATTGGCTTTCTGATGCATTTTATTATCTATCTTTGTTGGGGTTTATTTTATTTTTTTTTGTTACGGTTTTTACAGTTAAAGCCCTCGTAATCAATCCTAAATTCTCCATCTTTGTGAAAATCTCTCGTTTTACACAAAGGTGACTTTAAATTTTTTTTTTTTTAAATCCAACACGGATTTTACTGTGTCAATCTGTTGTACTATTTTAAAAGACGGTGACGTACCAATAACATGGCCAAAACAGACACAGAAATTATTCTAGAAGAAAATCAAGCTTCATCAGACCACTTTGATAACTCTTGCAGGGATTTGTGGATTTGACTTGACAAGTAGAATCTGCAGGGCAAAGATCTGATTATGAGGTCTTTAATATATCATGGAACTTGGTCAATTTTAAATGTTATTCTGGAAGAAGTTAAAACTGGTTGAATATTTTTCTAGTTTTCATCTGAACTCTGACCGCACCGTTTTGGGTCAGCTGGAGTATTTTGAAGATATTTCTCTTACAGCCCAATAATACAGACATACAGTATTCTGAGGCAATGCATGCACTATTTTTTTTACTTATTTTTTCATCATACTGGGACAGGATGTCCCTAATTTAGGCATCATTATGAAGGTGAACAAAGGTGGTCCCAGACACCTGTTAAATATGAGTCAAAGGACAGAATTCAGGATGAAGGTCCAGCAGGTGTTGTAGAGGGGGGGG